CTGTCTGTCTGTCTGTCTGTCAGCCGAGCAACCAATACTTCGTATCAGGTGATGTTACTCGTTGATTTGATCGGAACTGTACTTACTCCATTGAAAGATACCTACGCGAGGCAGCTAATAGGGCAAGGTTGGTAGGCAATCATAATCGATCGCAGAGAGTTGAAGGCGCCCGGGCTGCCTGACACAGCGGGGAAAATAAGGGGACAAGGGGGGAAACTCGTTGGTCTAGACCTGCCTAGATACCTACTCTTGTCTCCTCCTCCATGTCCAATTGGTTAGGTAGTCCGTTGCCGTCTCTCACGAACATAGCAGAAAAGAAAGAAGAAGAAAAAAACCACAGTCCAGTAGGCTATGTTCATTTGAAGGCAATAGGTACTGCACCGATGCGCCGCGCCCCTGGATCGAGGTTTGATGAGCCATAGATAGCCCCCATACCTACCTAGTTACCTCCCTCTATCTACCCGCGACAGCTTCCAAGTCTCAATCCGCAGCGGCAACAACAGCAAACGCCCTTCCTCACCTTGGAGGATATCATACCGCTACTTACTTGCCTATCGACGAGAACAAGATGCTCAAGAACCAGTCGCTGACCATCGCGGCCATCCTCATCGCCGGCGTCTTCGGCCTCTTTCTCTTCTTCGACCCCCTCGGCGTCTCCCTCGATGTTCCCTCCCACGTCTCCGTCACACACACAGTCCTCTTCCAGTTCAGCAAAGACGCCAGCCCGGATGCCATTCAAGAGGTGAGAACAAGTCACGCAGTTACCCTCCACTTCCCCCTTCCCCCTCGCACGATGAATCAAGCTCTTTGCCGTGCTTTTACTATACTATACTATACCATAACATACTATACTCTTCTGTCTTGTGATATATGCTTTTCTCTCTCGTACCTGCGATGGACAAGATGTACGACACACCAGCCGTCCCGAGCCGTGCGCCAAGCAAGACAAGACGAGACAGGTAGAGGCACCGTTGCCGCACATGAGCGCGCGCGTGCGTGGTCGTGGAGATGCACCGGCTCGGCAGCCTGTCCACCATGTCCTTCGTCCTGGATTCGGGCGGCGCATCGCATCATATCGCATCACATCTCATCTCATCTCGTCTCATCTCAGGGCATCAAGGAGTCGTTTCAATATCATACTTCTTCATGTCATCGCCATCCTCATCCTCATCATCACCACCAAACCATTACTAGAACCATGGCTGACTCGGCTCCTCTTTTGTTACTAGGCATGTGGTCGCATGATCGCCCTCAAGGACGCCTGTGTCAATCCTTCAACCCAAAAGCCCTACATTGTCTCACTGAGAGGCGGCAAGGACAACTCAGCCGAGGGCAAGCAGGTATGTGCTCTACTTTGCATACTGTCTACTACTATCCGCCCTTTTCTTCCCTATGCACGAAGAGCATCCGCGGATACCTAGAGCCTCTCGCACATCAAGAGATCAAGAGACAATATACTGACAAAATGCTGCCGACGATAGGGCGGCGCCACACATGGTTTCGTCGTGGAATTTGCATCAACAGCCGACAGAGACTACTACATCCAGCACGATCCGGCGCATCAGACCTTTGTCCAGAGCGCCAGCGACATTGTGCAGAATGCCATTGTGGTTGACTTCGAGAACGGCCTCTTCTAGGGAGATCCTCGTCAGTCGCCTCAGAGGTCTATCTTAGCTTACATAGTAGCTTACATTGAATCATAACGTATATCCAGCCACAGCCACGGACTGCCCCTTTCATTTCAGCATCAAATTCCTCTCTCTCTCTCTCTCTCTCTCTCTCTCTCTCTGTGTGTGTGTGTGTGTCTGTCTCTGTCTTTCGCATTCCTGTCGCCAAACCATTCTAACTTAGCCCCGCCACGACCTGCCTCCATCAAACGCAATTTTGAGTATTCATAGCAAATCAGATAGTCCATGGTCCCCCTTCACGGTATCTGGGTAGCTAGGTAGGTAGCAGTGCGTACTAGGTAAGGTAGTAGAGCTTCATCCCTCTAGTGGACCTGCTCAGATAGGCGATGGCCGAGCCTCACCTTATCTCTACCTAAAGTCCGTGCCGCCTAGGTGTCCACTAGGTGCCCTCGGTACATGTACAGTACCTGGTAGTGCTGTAGTGGGCCTGTGTGAGATCTAAGGTTGCCCCTCCTCGGTACCCCCTCGTCGTCCATCTCCGCTTGGCATGCTACCACCTACTCAAGGCGCCTCCTACCTACCTAGGTAGAGTGCCATGTACATCTCGATAGGAGCCCGCCTTCGCTCCTCTTGCTATTAGAATATATCCCGTTTCTCATACCGCTCGAAAGAAACGCTCACTCCGAAAGATATCATCTGGCTCCAGTCAGTCAACCTCAGATACCTTGGCTTGGCTTGATACATTTCAACATCGCGCCCACTCAACCTTGATTGGTGGCCCTTCAGCCAAATAAGGACACGGCATCTTCGAGCACACATGATAATCTTTGCGTCATTAATCTAGGGAACCCGCACACAAACTCTTCGCCACCTCGGCAGCGGAGAAGACCTCGTTCAATATACCTGTCGAGAAACATGGCGTCTAAGCTCAGCCTCCAGTCCAAGGTCAAGCTGAGCAGTGGCTACGAGATCCCGCAGTTGGGATATGGGGTGAGTTACCAGCCTTCTCTCGCGCCATCTTGGACTCCCTGGACTGTTACTGATCCGGTCTACGTAGCTTTGGCAAACGTGAGCTATGTTTGATGACGCCTCCTCCGAGCTTCTCTTTCTCACTGTAGCAAAGTGCTAATTCCCGTCTCCAGTCCTGCAGATGTAGCTGAGGGAGTGTGCACCCAAGCCTTCAACATCGGCTACCGACATGTCAGCCTTCCTTCCTTGCTTGCTTGCTTTCTTACTGCTTTTTGGCATTGACACTGATCTCTGTCCAGATCGATTCCGCTGCTGCGTATCGCAACGAAGCTGGCTGCGGCAAGTCGATCCGCGATGTCATCAAGACAATCCCCCGCGAGGACATCTTTTTCACCTCCAAGGTCCCTTCTCGTTCGCTGTCCTATGACACGGCCAAGGCCCAGGTTGACAAGACCCTCGCCGAGACCGGGCTCGATTACATCGATTTGATGCTCTTGCATGCTCCTTACGGAGGATCGGCTAACCGTAAAGGAGCGTGGAGAGCCCTTGTTGAGGCAGTCGAGGCCGGCAAGGTGAGGTCAATCGGCGTGTCCAACTACGGCGTCCATCATCTTGACGAGCTTGAGAAGCATATTTCTGAGCTTGAAGGCGAGCGTGGCGGCCGTGGCAAGGGAGGCATCCTCTCTGTCGGCCAATGGGAAATCCACCCTTGGTGTGCGCGAAGTGACATTACAGAGTGGTGCAAGAAGCGCAACGTCGCCGTCGAGGCGTACAGTCCGCTCGTCAGAGGCGAGCGATGGGGTGACAAGACTCTCAAGCAGCTGGCCGACCAGCACGGAGTGAGCGAGGCCCAGGTCCTGATCCGATGGAGTCTGCAAAAAGGTTTTATCCCCTTGCCGAAGAGTGTCACCCCCGAGAGAATCAAATCGAACGCGGATGTATACAGCTTCGAGTTGACCGATGAAGAGATGGCTTCTCTTGAGACGTCAGAGTACTCGCCAGTCTGCTGGGATCCGAACCTCAGTGGGCTCGACCAGTAAAGCGTGAACTGTATCGCTGGCTGTATCCAGAGGTAGCCAAGCTGAATTCCCAACTTGAAAAACGTAGATGTTTTCCAAGCAGGGACGAGTAATGATATTCCATTGACGACTGTTCCATTCCCATGATCTTTCCTCTATGTCATACTGGTCTCCTTGTAATTTGGCTCGTTCGGAATCACTCGTTGGGGTCGGCTGTGAACGAAATCGTTTGCTCGCTGTTAATCGTTCTGCGACAAGAGCAGTGCCGCCAGAGGCAATGCCAATTAATCCTTCAATCAGACTTCACCTTTCATCAATACTCCAATGCGTGGTGTCTGTTTCCCCAGGGTCCAATTATGCTAGTTCGTTTCGAATAATCAGATGGCGGTGTCACAGTAGCAGGACGAACATCAGTTCGGAGAGGGCGGGCATGGGCACAATGCGGCCAACTGCATGTTGGCATTGCATCTTGTGCTTGGATTCGCCTGCAATGATGTTATGCGACTCATGGCCGTCGGTTCAATAGGCGTTGTTTAATCGAACGGATACCTGGGCTGGTTGCTCAAGCAGAGAGTGTCGATACCTAGTTTCTGCATTCGTTTGTCTACATGATAAGTTATTCGCTTAAACCAAGAACCTTGCACATGAAGACATGCAACCGAGTCGGCATAGACCTTATGGCTCGGTTGGATGACGAATACCTTCACTAAGCGAAGAAATGGTTGAGGAGAGACCATAATTGGGATCGACTCCTGCGGCCTACCAGAAGTTTCCCAGGTTAATTGAAGAGGAGGAGATTCGGTAACAAAAGCACAATCCCGACGAGTTTCGGTAGATATAAAGAGATTTGGGGATTGCTGCAAATATACTCGTGAGCAGGGTGATATGGGAGGCTATTGGTTAGCAGCCTTCCGTCCACAAGTATTGGTCATTTCAATGTACAAGGCAGAATGGGGGCATTCCAATGGTTTGAAAATAATGGCCGCAAGACTCCCTAGGTAACACTGCCAAGTAGAACGGCGTTTTGCATGAAGTTTGGCTCAAATCTAGTGTCCGAGAAAGAAGAGGTGACAGTGGAAGTTGTCCCAACTTGTATGTCAACTTCTTGTTTGAGCATACTACAAGATACCATTTTTGCTCCTCCACTATTGATTAGTTTAAATATTTGCTTTTGAGTGCATAAGAAGCAGGCTTTTAATTGTCAATCAGCAGTGATAAGTAATCTACAAAGAGCAAACGGGTGTCTCAATTGAGGCAAGACTGCACCTCAATAGAAGGATAGGGATGGATGTTTGAAGATGTCCATATGCCCAGATATCATGACTCGGCAAAAACAAACGGGGCGGCGGAAAGAAGACGCCGTGGAGGAGGGACGGCTGGATGCAGAATCATTATGAGTCATTCCGCGCTTTACCCGAATCGTTCAACGGTCGTGCCGGGGTGGAGCCCCGGACCCCCCCTAAGCCCCCCGATTGTCCTACGCCAACTCCATCACACGTGGGTTCTATGTGTCTACATCACGCCCATAATAATAAGCCTTGCCGCCACCTCGTTCCTAAGGCTTCTCTTCTTCTTCTTTCTTTCTTTCTTTTCTTTCTTGAATCAAACCTCGCAGGAATCGCCTGCCGTTACACTTTACCTCCCCCTCAGTTGAAGAAGGGACGATCCGGCCTCGTCGAGGGGCCGACCAAATCTGCAGTCATGCCAGACACCGCAACAACAACAACCGTGTGCTCACGCAACTCCACCATCGTCTTCTACTGCCCAAGTCTCCGATTCGGCCACAACCCGGGCTAACCACTGTTCTTCGGCGGGAGACCTGGCCTTTGCCTTACCCGACACTCTCCCGTTCGATCTGTGGTCGGGCTTCGATATTGCAAGCGGGCCCGTTGCTGAGGACCAGTCTCTTGATTTTGCCTCTGCTTTCGTCGAGGACCCGGCAGTGTCGTCCACGTCTTGGTGCCAATTCGACTCGTTCAACTGTGAGTTCCCGTTGTCTGGGCCCAGCCGTCTGGCGGCAATTGACAGAGATCTCAATCAAAAAGACCCCTTCATGCCGATGACCTCTAGCTCGGCAACTCTACTTCAAGCCCCTGGCTCAATCGTTACCAACACGGCGTCCACGCCCTCTGATTTCTCAGAGCAGCTGACTCCACCCCGCAAGCAAGCCAGGCACAGCCCGGCCCCTGATTCAGACGTCATCCTCAAACGGCAACGCAACACCATCGCTGCCAGAAAGTATAGGCAAAAGCGCCTCGACAGGATCACGGAGTTGGAGACAGCTTTGAAGGCCATGACCCGTGAGCGTGACGACTTGAAGATCCAGCTAGCACGCCAAGAAGCCGAAACATCGGCGTTAAAGGAACTGATGCGTTCGAGACCTAGTTAGAAGATCGTCTCTTGTTAGCCATTTCTGTATATAAATTTCAATGAAAAGAATTTCCTCTAGATTCATGAATGGTATAGGTTGGCGCAAGTCAGACGATGTCAGCTCTATGTTGTGCTCACTCAGTGACATTTCTCCCCCGTTGTCTCTCTTCGAGACAGGCGAGGGAGCAGGTCGTCGGTTCAGGGAACGTGGTTGTGTCATCATTGCCATATGTCAAGTAGGTAGGTAGGTCAGATCATCAGAACTTACATTTGAAAAGCTCTACTAGTCTATATCATACAGCCTGTTTGAAAGTGAACGGGTAGCTTCTGTTTTATATCGACATTTCCGGACCTCCAATCTACGTTTCTGTCAAATTTGCGCCGCTTTCATTATGCCTCACGCCATGTACAACATGACCAAGTATGATTCATTCTTACAAATAGGTGCACCAAGTCAACTGGCCAGTGGACCTCCGAAATAGACACGACATACTCTGTACAACCAGTTCCCAAGCTATTAACGCAGTCTTTCGTCCCGGCTTCATCACTACTTCCAGGTGAAATAGGACACTAGAGAAGCCATTGCCATTCAGAGAGCTTACGACACCCGCTAGGTATTTGAATCAATCGTGTCCACGAATCGATGACGAACAGTATAACAAGTCCAAATCATACGTCAGCGGTTCAAGTAATTAGCATTTCTTAACAAGTTATCACATCATAAATTCCTAGAAATTGGTTCATGATAAGAGCATAACTGCAAGTCTTAACTTCAAAATGTTGGGAGCGCCGCAACTTGAAATGGCACTACAACATACCGATCCTAAGCAATTGCACACGCCTCTGAGAGCTCATTATGTTCTACTCGGAGTCTTTCCCTTTACCTAAATGTCTCCTCCACTCATGACGCAAATATATTTACAAGCATCAAGAGTTGGTAGTACTCAAAACAGCTAGTATACGTGCCTCAGTATTCAGACGCCTGCTTATCTATATTGTATCTGTTTGTATGGCGGGCAGTTCGGCATTCTGCCGGGGTGCAACGAACCGCGCCGATTGACCCGAAGTTCCAGTCACTTTAGAAGTCGGTCACCCGTGACAAGATTGTTATCCCCCTCACTTGGTCACCCACCGAGAAGATTGCCATACTTGGATAACCCTAAACCTCATATAGCAGGTAGCATCGCATCGACGGTGAGCTCACAGACCAATTCTCTTGGCACACGGTTTACAGCTCTCTGTAATGTTGTTGCGTCTCGATAAAGAAGTTGACAACCGTCAAGAGATAGGACCTTTCTCGCTGGAAAGCGTTAGAAGACATTGAGCAACCATGAATTCCGAAAATGATCAGGACCAGCAGCCTCGACCCCTGCTCTTCGTATTTAAACAAAACTGGAATCTGGACTTTCGGGATCACATCCAAGAAAACTTTCATCACCTCGAACCCTTAGCAGCATTTGGTGTTTTGCATTGAGATATCTGTAGGTGCTACCCCGGGAACACGGACAAGATCCGGTTTCAGATCGGCGATATGAGGGCCGCAGCGGCGCGCATCCGTCCTCGGGCGGCCGCTGCCTTGACCGTAGGAGTTCTTGCCGGTTCGGCGGCCAAGGTGCCGTGCGTGCCTCCTGGGGATCCGTTTGCAATCATCGATCCGCAGAACTGGGTCAATCCAGATAACATGACATGGGCAGATTTCAGAGCCCCCCCAGGAACCAATTGGTCTGACCCGACAGTCAAAGGCACTGATCGAAACTTCAACATCGCCCTCATTACCCTGGACTACTCGGACAGGCCATTCGTGATCACGCAGCCTGTGGGTTCGACTCTTTACGGCAACCCTCAGCCAAGTGTATCGGGACTCGATCGCGAATCAGTGCCGGCTTTCTACCACGACCTCTTGAACAAGCCACAGGACTTGAACCAGGGACATACGATCCACGAATATTGGATGGGAGACTCGTTTGGGCGCTTTGGGGTGGACCTGACTGCCTTCGGGCCCTATCGCATGCCTTCACTTGCGTACCAGTATGGCATTACGAATGATATGAACCCCGGCGGTTGTCCTTCTGGGAGCACCTGTAACCTCAATATACGGACTGATGCATTGGCCGCCTGGCGAGCAGATGTCGGAAACGCCACCGCTGACTCCTTTGAACTGGTATTCATCCTATCTGCGGGACAGGACGAGTCTTCAACGTGGCAGGAATTCGGCGAGATGAGATTCCAGACCAAGGAAGACGTTCCCGACGACTTTGGTCCACCAGGAGATGGCACGAATTACGCAAAGACGCGATATGTGGAGTGGTCCTCGTGGGCGGCGGCCTCGAACATTTGGCCGAACGCTGGAGGTGGTTCCTCGACACAGGGAGAGAGCTCAGGCATGGCAACATATGCACACGAACTGAGTCACCTTCTGTCCATCGGTGATAATTATAATAATCCATACGGTGTTCCACTGCGTCGAGCATATACAGGCCCATGGTCGATGATGGATCGAGGGTCCTTCAATGGGCCGGGCGGTCCTCATAGCCGGTGGCAGATCCCGGCGGTCCAAGGGGCCTCGATGGGATCGCTACACACGGTGCGCGATAAGGCTTATATTGGTCTCATCGGTAACTCGAGCACCCTGAGTCTGTCTCGAGAGGCTCTAGCTAGCTCTGGTCCTATTGTTGCTCGCTTGATAGCTCGCTCCGTGAATCCTGGCGACTCAAATCTTCTGCGGGTCAACATCGCCATGAGCTCTGATCTATCGCCACCATGCAACACAACAACAGATGTTCTCTGCGATGGGGGCAGTTACAACAACTACAATCTTGAGGTAGTTGACCGTATGGGCGCGGACTCATTTACCCCTGACTCGGGAGTCCACATCAGCAAGACCAAGAATGGGAACAGCGCGCCGTTTCAATGGACTATCGATGCAAATCCGCGAGATATTGGGCTGATAGACTTCTACCGTCCCAACGGTACGGCGGCGATGATTACCCTGGGAGACTACCGACAGTTGGCGGACGCCTTGTTCCATGCAGGCACGCGATCAGGTAGCGAGTTCGAGTATGTCGATGAAGCGAATAACCTTCATCTCTATGTTCTCGAGAAACGCCGAGATTCCACGGGCGTGCTTTCATACACTGTTGCCGCGCGGTCTCTTCAGGACAGCAGCAACAGCGATTACGGCATTGCTTTAGGCAATGGAATCGTCGCAGCGGGCCGGCAGAATACACCTACAGGGAAAGGTGTGACATGTGTGTTCCCTCTGATAAACAACGGCACTTACGCGGCGGGTGCTGGCGATATCACACACCCACAAGATGTCTCCGCGTTTGTAGGCTCCGACATTTATAGGCTTGCCGCTGAAGTGGAAGGTGACGGCTGGCGGGTTGAACTGCCGAATGCTCTTGCAAGGGTCAATTTTGGTTCGTCAACAATAGCAACCGTGGCGGTCGGTGCGTCGGTAGACGCTGTAGAAGTGGCAGTCGTGAGGCTTACTGCATCGTCCGAGTCGGATGCGCTCGTGACGGGGACAGCCGAATGTAAGGTCAACAAGATCTGATTCAATGGATCTAGTCAAGGGTAGGCAAGCCGCTGGAGCCAGGAATCTGTGCATACAACTAGGCTCAGAAAATAGACAGACTACTTGAGAGACAAAATCAAGTTTGCTCTACGCCTCCAAAACGTATCGAAAACCCATATGTTATGTAACAAGATTAGAACAGTGGTATGAGCGTAGGCACGCTCAGGCTTCATCTCAATGTTAATATTAGATTCTTGGTTCGCCAATGCCAACACTTAATTCGCCCTTGCTCATCACTTTACCCAGAGCAAACTGACTGTATTGCCAGCCGTAAGACGAGAGTCACTTAGCAGACAGGGAGCTTAGATGGATGACTCTGGGGTAGTAGAGAAGAGGGTTTCATGAATAATTTCTGTTTGCGCAGAACATAAACCCGTCAAGTCAAACAGGTTTGTGGTGTGGTCTAGAAGCATTCAGGAAAAACTTTGTTCGACAACGTTGCTCGAGACAATATATATAGTCTAGGATCCAAATCGAATCACGGAATGTCTTGACAAACATTGAAGCACCCACAACAATGTGTTATATATCCCAAGCCAGTCAGCCCAGGATTTGCATATCATGACAACCTAACCTAATTTCTTGTATAGATTAGACAAATCACAGTTGATGGTGCAACTGGGTGGGATTATTGGAACATGAAGTTGCTATATACCTTATACCTTATATACGGATGTTCTCATGTCACATGAAAAGACAGAAAATGCATCTCCAGGTTTTACCTCGTTAAGCATTATTCGAGATGACAAAATTTACCAACTGTCTATCGAATCGACTACATTGACTTCAACACAGGCTCAGTAAAGAGGTAGCTGCCCTACCTGAGTTGCATATAGGTAGGTACCTACCTGGTGTCGTCACTTACAAGTGTGTGTACCTAAGGCACCTACCTACCTTATGTATGTACCTAGGTACCTACCTAAGTACCGGTGCGTAGGTATGCAAGCGCTCCTCCACCCCGCCTGCATGCAACTGTGGACTTGCCCCGCCAGGCCAAATCAAGCGTCTGTCTGTCGCGTCGCTCGCTCCTTGTTGACTGACACGGTTGTCAAGGTCTATCTACAACCACCACGAACGTTGGATATTGTAGTGACCGGGCTCGCTCATTCTGCACACAACACCAAGCATTGCATCACATTGCATTGCATTGCATTGCATTGTGCTTCCTCATACCGACTACATCTCGCCTTCCCAATCCAAGGGAACAAGGAAAGCGTGCCTTGCTTGATCTCTGGATCGCACAAAGTCAACACAACACGACCGACCGACCCCGTTGACCTGTCGACTTATCTAAGGTACCTACCTACTTGCTGCAGAGCTGGTTGCTTGAATGCATGGGTATCAGGTATCAGGTATCAATCATCAATTACCTACCTACGTGCCTACCTTTGCCATGCAATATCATGATCGTTGCTTCTCTGCCTTCCCGTAACGGGTGCTATTCTCGAACGCCGTCTCCATCGACATGCCACCGGTGCAAAAGACCTTCGATCTGATCCCGAACATCCTCGGGTCCGGCCTGGGCCGCCCTGGGCTTGCCCATGATGCCGCCCCCCATGGACCTCCCGCAAAGCCCCCCATGACCTCGAAGCAGGCCAAGAAGCTCTACAAGCAGGCCAACAAGGCTCCAAAGCTGTCCAAGGCAGAGCAGCGGCGCATCGAGCTCATGGAGCAGGACCGCATTCGCAAGGAGCTCGAGAAGGAGAAGGCCCAGGCAAGGACCAGGGTCGCTCGGGATCGTAAAAAGGCAAAAGAGGAGGCTCAGCGAGAGGCCAAGAAGAGGAAGGGCCTGCCCCTCGTCGATGTCCGACCCAGCCAAGATACCATTGCACGCTTTGTCAGAGGCAATGGCACGAGTAAGAAGCGTGACTCTACTGGAGTAGAACTCCAGCCCCAGTCATGCCTCCGGACCGTGGATGAGGGGGAGGAAGCCAATGATCCCCCAGATAAAGAGAACGAGGAGCCGCGCCCGTCACCAGAATCCCGACAGCCTTCGAACTCCCTCGGCCCAATCGCCGTCCCAGCAGTCTCTGAACAATCACTCGACATGATGAAGTCGCAGAATGGGGCCTCAACAGTTCTTGAAGACGCCATGTCGGTGCAGCTCGAGGATGTCAGCTTGTGTGGCCCGAAGACTCTGCCACATTTAGATCCTCCCAACAGACGCCGATCGAGGTCCTCCGGCGCCCACACTGATGAGGGAGAAACGGAACAGGCAATGCATAACCAGCACAAGGCTTCCTCCCCGGATGTCATGCGACCAAGTTCGAGGAAACCACACAACAGCCACTCAGGGACCATCAGTCCGGCCAGAGACATCTCGACGGTTCAGGTGAAGCATGCCGTTTCTGATGGCGCGAACTCTCGGAGTCAAGTCCCTTCCCAGATGTCTCGAGATTCAGTCGCAGTTGTGCAAGGAACGCCCCCTTTGCAACATGCCATTGCACCCAAGGCCATGTCCCCCTCAATGAACACTCCTTGCGTGATAGGTTCCCGGCCTACACCTCGGTCTGGTGTGAAGCATGTGGGAACGGGGATGGGTCCTCCGCCGGTGCCTCCGCGCTTCAAATCACCTCTATCCAAGCCAACCAATGCTGTTCAGCAGCCCAAATTTCTGCCGAAAACTCCGCGAACTCCTCTGATTGCGCAACCTGGCCATGTATCAGGCCACCAAAGGGCTGTCGTGTCCGAAGATCTGCCCCCGACAAGCACGCAGTTTGTGCTCAGTCATTTAGACGACCTATTTCCGACACCGTCGCAAGAGGCGAGAGAATTACTTGAGGATACGCAACCCTGTACTTTACCCAAGCCAACGCTCCTGACACCTCTAGGACCTGCAGCGATGAACCCTCGCCCAATACAGTCGAAACAGGTACCCGCTTTGAGCAACACAGACGGAAAAGTCACTCTTGCCCAAGCAACCATGGATGGGGATAGCGGCCCAGATTTGCCCTTCTTCTCTTCACAAGATTTCTTTCTTTCGTCACAAGACGTGAGGGAGTTGGAGTCCTGCATTACAACAATTAGCAAGCGCCAGGAAACTACCACTAGAACGCACGCTATCATCGGTCCTGGATGTCGAACATCGCAGCTGATAGAGAGGCCGGCTCCCAGCAATACTGCGCCTCCTAAGTTGGCAAATCTCTCTTGGGAAACAGACGGCCGAGTCGTAAGTAAACATTCAGGCCTGCCCGTGAAAAATCATTCCAGCTGTTGGAATTGCGCGCCTATACAAAGACATATTCATTTCCAACCTCTTGCCAGCATAACGCAGAATGATTCGCGGTCTCCTGGCCTTAATGGGCTAGTGTGTCAAGGAGCAGCTCAAAACCCGGATGGCCTCAATATGACCACCCGGTGCTCGGCAGTGCATCAACGGCCATTCAGTCCCGGAAAGGGTCTGTCAGATCCTATCGTGACTTGCTCCTCGAGATCAAATGACATGGGCGATACCACCCATGGTGAAATCAAGGTGCCTCGTAACCTCAAATGTCCTCCGAAGAAGCGTGTCTTTTCCTCCAGCGGAATAGGCGCCGATGGCCTTTGCGCCATGGAACGCAGCCATCGCTTACTTCGGCAGGAACAGCAGCAAACCTGCTCAGGGGTGCGTGCATTAGGGGGACAATTGAAGGAACAGAAATTCTATAAGCCGGATACTATTGAGGCATTGGCAGCACACGCTCCGAATGTCAGCCAGGAAGACTTTCTCAGCGATGAATTGGATTGCGTGCCCAGTCAACTGCTTCGGATTGTGGAAGGGGGGCCACATATTGCTCTTACTGGCTTGGAAAATCGGTCAGTATCGACGCGCCCTTCTTCAGGAATTTCGTTGCAAGGGTGCAGGGCTATATTGCCGTCAGATCCTCGAGGTGTGCTCAGCGGCTCCCAAGAGACGGATTATGGCGATTTTGAGATTGGTCTGGATGAGCTGGATCAGCTTGGCGTTTTGGGGATAGTTGGATAATTATATCACGGGCAGACAACCTGCATCTTCGTCCCTCTTGGGTATTGGTATTGCATACATGGTGGGATGACTTAAAAGCATTGCATTGGTGTCGGTTGCACCGGGGATTAATCGTTTGAATAGGGCAATGGACTTGAACTCCAGGTGTGGCTTCCGCTTTTACTCAAGATACCCTGAATCAGATATATATCTTTCATCTTTTGGATGATGACTGCTCGAAGAAATCGTGAAGCGCTTGAAGGTAGGTACGAACCAGGGGATAGCTATTCGCTCCGCACCCGTGTCTGCGCAAATCGAGAGGCATCCCTCCGCGATGTTCTCTGCAAATGTAAGCCATGCCGATCGCCAGGCAATGTCTTTGGTCACAAGAACGATCGAGCAAGGGGAGCTATGGGAGACAGCCATCGTGTAGTCCTCTTCTCAATCTGCTGCTCATTGTACGTTATGCCGCCGAGCGAGCCCTGATCACATCCACAGGATCTCGAGGTGCCTGGTAGTCCTTTACGCCGAAGGCCGTGCTGTTGTGGGACTAGGAGACAATTATCACCAGACGCTAGAACATAGCAAAAGCAACATGCGAAAATCTGGGTGCCACATCAAAGGGCACCATATCTCCGACGTTTCTCATATATACAGGGAAAACTGAACGCTCGGTTCATGATTCAGGCAGCCGAAGTCCTGATATCCTTCCAAAAACGCCAAGCAATGAAGTCGTGATCTATATGCCCCTATCCCCTATGCATACCGTGAAATCCACGCACTTCCAATCCGAACAAGCAAAAACGATCACAGAGTGAAACGCCCAAGAGGTTGTCAGGCCCGATCAAATCCTCTCGGAGCATGAGATCAAGCCCGCCTCACATGAAGATCCCCACCCAGGCGGTTTTTTGCGAGACTTCGGAGTCACAGTCGTCAACAGCGCAAAGATACTTGGGCTGCTTCGAGTTCGAGACAGTTTCACGGCGAAAACTGGACAGTGAGCTGCTCTTCCGATTGTCATAGCACTTCTTGCAGAAGACCTTTGATGAGATTAGCACGGCTAGCTCACAAAACTCTAAAGAGGAGCAGGAATGGCAAGAACGGCTTACATGGCCACAGGCCTTCACAGCCCAGAAGTGATGCTCCTCTCGGTCCTTGCGTGTTCTGGGTTTTTTAGTTGGTGGGCCGTCCTCCTTGTCCTCCGAGTTGTATTTCAGCTCCTCGTCACAGCTGGGGCAGATGACCACGACGTCAGGACCACTCTCGCGAGTAAAGCCTTCTCGCGGGGGCGGCAATGGCTCAAAGACGGGTTTGGGGGTGGGAGCTCGGCCACCAAAACCACCAAAGCCGTTAGCCTGATAGTTGAAGTCGACGGGATTGTTGGCGAGCGGGTTGGGCGGCGGGGCGACGTTGTTCTGACCGATAATCTGAACATCAACGTCCACCTGCGCGTTGAGGCGCCCCAGGCCGGCCATGATGTGAGGGAGATCGAAAGCGGGGAAGGATCTCCGAAGGTTATGTAGCTGAGCAAATATTGAAATTTCACGATTGGGTGCTCTCTCCCTGCTCCCGTTGCTTCGTCTCTCGCGGTCGCGACGCCTCAGAGATGGGATTGCGCCGTGGTGGGGTGGCTGTCCGTGCTCCTGGTTCTGATCGTCAGGTGAATCGGCAGTGAGGTCGATGACGTCCGTGTTGGCGCCCAGGATGCTTCCGTCGCTACGTACAAAAGATGGAGTCCGGCGATTTTGTGACATCTGCCTGCGCGGGTTTCTGTGTCCTTGCCCTTGCGAGCGTTCCTGAGGGAATGATGGAGCTCGGGGTAAAACGAGTGGTTGAGGTCGTTGGACAGGACTGTCGGGTTCGTCGGTAAGATCGATGACGGTCTGCTGCTGAGGCTGTTGCGCGCGAGGCGGGGGGGCGGCCACGGAGCGAGATGAGGCTGCTGGTCTTTGCTCTACCTCCATGTCGAAGAGCTCGTCAAGAAGCACGATTTCGGGACCGTCTTGGGATTGCGGTGGCGGCTGCGGCTGAGCTTGGTTATTCCGCCGACGATCCCTCCTGGCAGCTCTATCTTCTCTAATCTCTCGTAGCAAGACGTCACGTTGTGTTCGTAGGCGACGCAGCTGCTCCTCCTGGGCGTGGGCAGCTGATCGGTGGGCGTGGTGCCCTCGATGGCTATTATGGGTATTATTGCTACTGTAGTTGTGGGTGTGGTCGTGGGTGGCGGCAGGGTGGTGTCGGGTCTGTCGTGAAGCAGACGACAAGGAGGGTTGCCTTTCTGGCGCAACAGTGGCGAGGCTGAATATTATCCTCTGGCCAGGGCGCTGCTGCGGTCCTGGGGGCCCATGTTGCGAGTGTTCGTGGAGGGCGGCGCTAGATGAAGGAGACGAGAGAGATGGCGAGGGGGATGGCAAAGATGAAGGCAGCGATGAGGACGGGGACGGGGACGGGGATGAGGCAGAAGGCTGGCGGGGTTCTAAGTCCATGTCCACGTCCAGCTCCAGCTCGGAGGAGGCGTCGTCCGGAGTGTCGACGGTCTGGGAGCTGAGGTTGCCTGGAGACTCGCTGCCCCAGTCCATGTCTTCGAGATCACCCGGGCTGGACGAGATGAAAGGCCCGTCTTCGTAAAAGGAGGGTGTCGAGGGAATGGAATCGTCAAAGTCCGAATAGTCCGCCATGGCGTCCGGCCTCTTCCCTTCTGCTGCAGACTCCTTCTCTCTTTACCTTGTTGCGGATGCCTACACTTCGCTTGTTCACTCCTCTTCTCTTTCTCACTTTCTCCGTTCTCCAGTGTCGCGCCTTCCAGCCTTGCCGCAACGTACGTTTATTGTTGTGCAATGTAGTCGACGGATAAGAACGGTCGGGCTAGCGGCAGCGAGCGTTTCCCGATGCTGACGGTGATAAGAGACGGATGAGAATAATGAAATCGGCCTTTTCGACGTAATGCTCCCGTTCGAGGGGGCACCAGGGCTAATAAATGACAGCGGTGCGGCGGAACGATGGCGCGCGCGAGGCAGTCGGATGTGATGCGATTCGATGCAATGGAGGGGTGGCGAGCCTCCAATGCCCGCAAATGTCGCTGCCGATGCCGACTCGCTCGAAACGGAATTCGACTGAGGCGCTGACTAAAATTGAATGAACCTCTCGCTCGATCCTTCATTCATTTATTCATTCATTCGGTCATGCATTCGTTCAATGGGGACAGCCAGGCTCCTTAGGCGGTACCTAGGCCGCTGGTGGTCTTCCGAGGCTGTCGTGCCCTCTATTGTTAGGGACTGTGGCTGCAACGTCGGAACGGGAAGGCGAAGAGCGTATGATCGTTGTTATTGTTGCCCGTGGATAATTACCTAATCAAATGCTGCCGCCACCCGCCTGCTTGCCCCATAAGAAGTCAAAGGAGGTAAAGTTAGACTACATATACGCTTATTAACGCCTCCAAATATATCAGCCTGCCCTTTGGTCCTCCGTCGTTAAGTCCGGAAGTTGGACCGAAGTCGAAAATATCTTGCACCTATTGCTAGAGTTTGTGTGAAGGTGAAGAGTCTCTTTGTTGCTGAGTGAATCTTTATTCACCGAGGTAGGTTGCTATATCACGGTTTTCATGCCTGTCTGCCTCCTGCCTGCCTGCTACTCATCCACTTTAATTAAGCGAATGCCGACAACATCCCTCAAAGTACGCAAAGCGGGATAGAAACGAGTATCATTCTTTCACTCGCCGTTTTCCATAGCTCACAGCTTTTCAGTGGAAATAACACTTGCCTATTCTCTAGCAGTGAATAGGATGACCATGCCCGCCCAGGATTTTCTCGCAAAATATGATTGGCATCTTCTCAAGAAACATGACAACACATTGATGTCCTGTAATGCTTCTCACAGGAATCATTTCTCCAAGAACCTCCGTATTGCATCTCATCGATTTCTCCCCACTCCCCGCCGCCGTACATTATAATACAAGGACACGCACCATTTTTGACCATAAATCTAGATTCCAGCCATACGACTTCGTCGAGAACTTCAAGAACACCGACCACCTTCTCATCCTCGTCGATGCTGCCTCCTTGGGCTGCTCACGGTCTACGGGCCAACACCGTGCATTGGCAGTAGAAAACGAAACGCCTTTCCAGAGCTTAGACCCAGCCGCGCGATCAATCTCTGCTTTGCGAGCGTGTAATCGCAATTTTGTTCCTTCTTTCTCTTATTTTACTCTCGTTGGTCGGGCATCGTGTGCCATGGTAGAGCCAGCCACTTATGAAGACTCTTGAGTACCCAAAATCGACAAAACCCCGTCTTCGTTGACAGCGATGAGTTCACTGGCATTGGGGCCCCACCGCACAGCAACCGCGGGCGTGGCACTCCTAAGAGGCTCGCTCCACTTCCTGCTGCTCTTCGAGTACTGCTGAACCGTCAGGCCAGCGGGACCGGCCGTGGCCAGAAACTGGCCTGTATAGTCCCATGCCAGGCTTTGCACCGAGCTGCCTATATCAAGCACCTTGGCCGTGGCCGCGTCGCCCTCTTTCCGCAGGTCGAAAATAGTCACTGTAGTCTGTCCCTTGGCAGTTGCGGCGATCCAGTACCCGTTCTCTGAGAACACGAGCGCCTGAACGGGGGCGCCCAGGCTGAAAGAAGCAGCTTCCTCTCCGGTCTTAGTCATATACAGCTTGATATCACCAGATGTAGTACCGGCAGCGAAGAGATGGCCGTCTGGATGGAAGGCGCATGCGGTCAAAGCTGTCGGTAGAGATTAGCATGGTTGCACGCCTAAAATAAGATGAGATACCAGGTTGACTCACAAGACTCGGTGTAGACACGTGTGACCCTCTTTAGCTCATTCAGGTCGTAAAATACGAAGCTCTTGTCGGTGCCCACGGAGGCGAGAATCTCTTCGCCAGGGTGCAGCGCCAGCGCCGTGGCCGGGCCGGCGTGTTCGGAGAAGGATGCCACCTGGTTGCCTCCCTGGAAAACCTTTACGGAGCCCTTTGATGTCGCGAAGATGACACTCTGACCTGTCCAGGCCGTATCTGTGACAGGCTCGCCGATACGCAGGGATCGTTCCACCTTGGCCGCATCGACAGAAAATATGGCCACGTCGCCCTTGAGACCGCTAATGGCTGCATAGCCTGTCTCCAACGCGATCGACGTGGCTTGTGGCACCGGCAAAGACTCAGAAGACTTGACGTCGAACGATGCCACGTCGTCCGCACTAGCCCAGTCACTCGGCACAGGTCGCTTCTTGCGACTCTTTGACAGTCTACAGGAGGGTCAGCAATCTGAATCAAATGAAATGCAAAGGAATGGGAGGATCCGCCAAAACCCGGGGGACGTACTTCTGGTGGGTTTCGTCTACCTTGGCCGCCAGCTCCTCGGGCAAAGCCTCGTTGTCCACAGCCATAGCCTCTCCATTGCCTGCTGAGCCGGCGGTCACAGTCACCTTGGAGAGAGCGTCCCGGGCTTCGTCTCGTTCCTTGGTGAGGCGCGCAATCACGCGGACGGCGGCATCGTGCTGGTAAAGTGCGGTGGCCAACTCCTCCCGAGTCTGCGCCAGCTGTTGCTTCAGCTTGTACGTCTCCAGTGCGAGAGAGTCCCACTCGTTCTGGAAGGTGGAGAGAAGGGCGGGGATCGAGGTCAGTGTGGGCGGACGGGGATAGACGATTCTGGAAGACTTTAAAGGCAAAAGATCCTCGAGGTCGAGCTCATCGCCTGTAACGGGATCCTTGCCATTCTCCTCTATGTACTTCTCAATGAGTCGCTTCTCGAAGACGGTGCCTGTACACGACCGCGACGACGCGTCAGCATCAGGTTCGTAAGCCAGAGCCGAAGAAGGACAACATACCGGTCTTCTTGGACACGACAGGCTCCTGGGGGGCCTCGCCGGAGACTGCAAACAGACACGCATGGTCAGCAATAGGCAAACAGAGCATCGATAGTAGGAGAGCTGAAGGTTGCCGGGTACGGGACGGAACTCACTTGCGCACAGCATTCTGATGGGAGCCAACAATTGGTGCTGTCGAGGGAAGAATCCCTTGGGTCCTTGTAGAATGCTGCGATGGGCTCGAGAATGCGTGTATCTGGAAGGAGCTTGGAGAAGGGATCCTGGCTACTTCTTGGGATTCCACTTTTTTCGAGGCTCAATTGAGGCTGGATGCAAAAAGCTGAGATAGGTACCGATAAAGCAAGGACATTCTACAGTAGGTACCGGTAGTCTCACGTGCTGATAAGCCCTGCGAGAGGATTTTAGAGTGGATGCTTAGGTAAGGCGGCCAGGAAGTGGCCGGTAGGGCTCGGGAGGGGAGCACGGGGAGGTACCTGCCTGCAGCGGGGTGGACGGACACCTGAGATGCATGCCCTGCAGCCCCTCCAGCAACCCCTCCAGACCAGGAGTTTTCAGTGTTGTCCGGGAGCCTCCGACTGCCGTATCAGCTGTACCAATCTAGGTACCTGCCTATCTGGCTGCTCTAGGTCACAGATAGTGAGGAAGATAGAGAGGGACCTCCCCACCTGCTGGAGGTCGCCGAGCGCCTTCCAGGTCTCAAGCTTCCAAGGTTCACATAGGAAGTCCAATTGGGCGTGACCTACCCGAGCAGCTGTTATATCAGTCGTCGAATTCCCTCTCAGCCCACCTGAGTTGAGCAAGGTGAGATTAGGGATATTCTCAAGGGTTATGCAGTCTAATCAATCCATCATTCCGTCATCTCAACTCTTCCACTCGAAGGCAGCCTTCCATTGGCTTCAGAGAGAGTAGAGGCTGTGGCAAATCTGCGCTCCCTAGAAGCTAACAAGCGAAGTGAATCGACCTGACTTGACTCGAATTGGGTCGATGTCGAGATTGTACTGAGGGGTACACGATATCGTGTCCGTCTCCAATCCCTCAAGTCTTCTTGCCGCCACGCAGGAAGGGAAAGGGAAGCTGGCTGACTAACTGAAGAGTCCTGAACCTCAACCGAACCCTTCAAGATTCAAAAGTACAGGGATGGTCGCTCCTCCGGCATCTCTGTCCTTGCCGGACATCGCATCACTCTCGTCTCTGCCCGAGGAGACGCTCATCTCCGTGCTTGACCTCCTCTTCGAGCCCAGCGTCGACCTCCACACTCTGGCCATCCCCACCATGCGATCCATCACCTTCACCTCCTACCCCGAGCTCATCGACACCCTCCGCGACGAGTTGCTGTCCATCGCCCAGGACCTGCACCAAGAACCCGACGCCCGCAAGCCCCTGCATGCCATCCTCGGCTCCCACCCCCGCCTGGGCGAGAAGAAGGTCAACAGTGCACAGAGCGCCGCAGAGCAGGCCCAGCTGCACTCTGGGGGTCACGGCGAGGCGCAGAGGCTGGCAGCACTCAACAAGGAGTACGAGGAGACCTTTCCTGGCCTGAGATACGTCGTCTTCGTCAACGGACGGCCAAGGGACGTCATCATGCAAAACATGCGTCAGCGCATCGATCGGGGTGACCTGCGAGCCGAGGAGCGGGAGGCCATCACCGTACGTCCCCCATTCGCCGTGTCAGGCGCCCTCTTCCTCGAGAGCTTTTCTTTCTGCCAATTGTGATGGCAACCAAGCTGACCCGTCTCTTTTCCATGTGTAGGCCATGTGTGATATTGCCAAAGATCGTGCAACAAAGTTACAATCTGCCGCCGCCTCTTGAAAATCATTCTTGTCCACTCTTATCACGGACCGAGTGATCAATTCTTGCTCTGCACAAAACGGACGTCCTCGGCATTGCTGCAGAAGCCTCTCGCTGTCCATAAGTATTTTCGAGCCCGGTGGGCACTTTTAGGATATACTGTGGCCTTGCGATATAATCACGAATCCATTATCGTGTCCTGGGGTTCCGGTTCCCTCCAAAGTTTGCAAGTGTCTCGGCATTCGTGTAATGTAGGACAAATCCCAGGCTCCATACCACCGTGTGTGTCTGTGTCTACTTTCAGTCTCAGCAATGGTCACTACACTTTAGAGATGAATGTATAGTCCCTTGGCATGTCATTTTCACGTCCAGGGAGCACCAAAATTCATTGTCTCATGTCTAAGTGCAGGTGCTTCTACACTACCTGTATTAAAGTGGCGTAATAAGCTCAACATAGAGATAGACGACCTCATTCCAGGCTTGGTCACAATGCATTGCGGAACATCTCTCACCAAGCAGTAGGAATGAATTGCAGCCGGTGAATGAATTGGTGTGGGTTGGTTAGCCATTGCATCAGCTGTGCGCTCCAATGCGCGCGAGCGAGTGAATGAGCCGGGTGGTGCACCAAGTGGATGGATGGGCCTCGACCGGACTAAGTTGTTGCTAGTAGAGTGTGAGTCAAAATACACTCCCACATAACTTACACACTTATACCGAAGATTTCCAGTCCACGGCGGCAGGATTGTTATATTTGAGCAACCCAATTCATATCAGGCAAAATAAGATTGCCGCTTTCGTGAGCTGTCTTGCCAAGTCCTGTCTAGTCATGTTCGTTGATGGATGCAACTCTCAACCAGTTTGTCCTCACTGATCAGTGACTGCAGCAGACAAACCTCACTCGTGTGGCCGAGAACATATTTGAGCTACCGAACCGGTGCCCTTGATTTGATTCGATAATCAGTCCTTTCAGAACTGTATAGAATCACGTCTGGTCTCTGCTGCTGCGTTGACCTAAGAAGAGGAATTTTGCTCTGTAGGGAAGCTGTTTGAGTGGTACTTAAACGCTTGCTTGCCAGACAGTCAACATGGCATCGGCATTAGACTTCCTTACCCTCGACGTCTTCACCTCAACGCACTATCTAGGAAATCCTCTGGCTGTTGTCCTCGTTCCCGCGGCCCAGGCCTCTACCTTGACTCAAGAGCGCAAACAGCTCATCGCGCGGGAGTTCAACCTCTCAGAAACTGCCTTTCTACACGTGCCGGAAGATCCCTTGTCCACCGAGCGCAGGGTGGACATCTTCACTATCGAGGAAGAGCTGCCCTTTGCGGGTCACCCTACCATCGGAAGCACGTACCTCGTGTTAAGACACTTTGGCCTTGAGCATGTGCGCGCGCTGTTGCTCAAGGGCGGACGCGTGGAGATCTCCAAGACGGGAGGGGAGGCGGAAGGACGAGTGCTGGCTACCATTCCGCACGATGTGCACTTGCACAAGAACACCCTGCGCTCCATTTATCAGTCAGACGATTCTCAGTTGGCGGAACACGTCCGCTCCGCGCTTAGCGACGATGTCGCAATTCGCCAGGCAGAGCTTGATGCGCCGGTTGTTAGCATTGTCAAAGGAATGTCCTTCGTGTTGGTCCAGCTGCCCAGCATCGAGCACCTTGCCAAAGTGACGACTGCAAAGAGGCTGGACTTTACTAAGCTTACAGGGCTGCTGGACGCCGGTCCTTGGGAGAAGAGCTTCACGGCACGCTACTACTACGTCATGCTTGAATCCTCTGAAGGGGCAAAGACCGTCAGAATACAGGCTCGAATGGTGGAGATGGGTATGGAAGACCCAGCCACTGGTTCGGCCGCGAGTACGCTCACTAGCTACCTAACACTCCAAAGTGCCGCAGATAACGTCGAGTATGAAATAGTCCAAGGCGTGGAGATGGGGCGGCGTAGTCACATTGCAGTTGCAATTGAGGCCGTTGGTGCTGGGGAGGCGAGGAAGATAGTAGACCTAAAGCTCGGTGGCACAGCCAGGGTTGTGATGAAGGGTACATTGGTGTAAGGCTGGCCTGACTGATTGTACTGGAGACGAAGTTCAGAGGGAAGAGTTACTAAACTCAGATACAACAATATACAGCCGTTTCGGAGGCTTGTTCGCAGCCATGGTGGTGTCTTCTCAGATCTGCTTGCAGATTGAGCACTCGCAGCCACAGCTATGATAGATCTGTCAAGGGCTCTAATGCTACGCAGACCTTGAGGCTCATTGCAGTATTACAACTCTAAGGAGTTGCCACCATTCTTGTCACGTGTATTTGGTCAGAGACTCTACAAGTAACCAACAGAAGGAGCACTAATATTGAGAACGTTACAGTGTGACCACTGATCAAAGTGAGAAGAGGTAATGATATTAAGTCTATTGTGGGGACTATTGTGTTAGGTTGAAGAAACTATAACCTTCATCAAATTAGTACAGTCGTTTCGGTCTCAGGAAACGATCTCTAGTGCTGTGTAAGATTTGCATACTAGGAGGTGAGGTTCTTTGGGACCTTTGCAAACTTAGATTCATATACAATAGACCATTGTGATTAAGTATGTACATTTGTCAGTTATGGCGGCCACCTTGAAATCATTACCTGGAAAGCATTTTATTGACATGTCATGCCGTGCCAAAATCCGATTTTCATGTCCGTGAGCCTCCTGTATGCTTATCTAATGCTCCAAAAACACGTCAACTTTCGATCACCCGCATTTCTCTCGCTTGGAAACGAGGAGAACAGCAGTGACCCTGTCAACGTTCTCTGGGCCGCCATCTGTTCCACTCCTTTTGTCCATGTTGCGCCAGCCCAATGATATGATATTTTCCATGTGCTCATGCCTCATGCCTTTAGGGGATGTGGGATGCGACTGCCGACGATTTAAAAGGAGAAAACAAAGAATGTCGGAGCAGGTTGACGGGACGAATTGCTGTCAACCCACGCAACGAGTTTCATCGCAATGTATACGGAATGCCATCCAAATCATCCATGTAGTCTTCGTAATGGTCATGATCGGACCCTCTGTCCTCCTCGTCTTCGCTTTCCGCTTCACTCCCCCCACCGAAGATGACGCTAAAGTCGGCATACACGTCGTCGGTCTCATCGCCGCTATCATATCGGCTCTCGTGCTCCGACGTCGGAAAGGCGACATTATCATCGTCTAGCTCGTCTTCTTCCATGGCCCTACCTATTTGACTGCGGCCTGCCTTGAGTTCTGGCGATCGCAGGGCACTTAAACGAGGAGAAGGGGGCAGTCTCAAACTGGCCGGATCAGCGGGTCTGAGAGCCTTTGAAGGAGATCCCGAGGGTGATCCAGGTGGAGACGACCGGGCAACAGCTGCGGCGCGTGACAGAGGGTGAGGGTATGGAGGATTGGATATGGCAGGGGGCAGCCGGAGGATAGGAGTGTGAGGGCCGGTATCTGGAGCCCGTAAACCCGTCGTCAGAGCAGAGGGCATCCGAGCATTCGCTACGAACCCGAGGCCATGCAATCCTGCAGACCCAGCTAAGAGCGAAGCGTTCGCTGCGACCTCGACAACAGATTTGTCGCCCCGGTGCTCTGCTTCTGCGCATATTCGCAACCTGAATCGGTTCAGGATGGCAGCCCGCCTTAACATTTCCGACTGCGCAGGATGGTGTTGACTCGGTGCTGGAAATCCACTACCAGGGCTTGGCCCCTGCCCTGCTCCGGCGAAGTTGACGGGGTGGTTAAGTTTCCGCGCAGCTACTACTGCAGCTAGTTTTAGAAATCTCTTGTCGCCTGCTGCTACTGCCTCACGATTCAGTATGTGAGTCGCCGGGAGCGAGAAAGGCTGGGAGAGACGGCTGGTGATCAATTCAAGCCGCAAACGGCGCTTTTTGCAGCTGAGGGCAGCCGTGTTTGGCCCGTCAACATCGGTCAATGGACGTCGTCGTTTTGTAGCACCTCGAGGGGGAGTAGATGGCGATCTGCACGAAGCAAATGAGAAATCATCCGATGATATTGATGGCGACAGTGGAGAGATAAATGCTAAGAATGAAGCAGATGTTGACGTGGAGGATGCGGAGGAAGATATGCTGTGATTCCGCCATGCTACCGATGCAGACGAGATGGTGGCGAGTTCAGGCTCCGAGGATACAGTTGCAACCATGTGTCCTTCCGAGCTCTTGATGGCGGAGACAAATTGTGGCGTGGTTACAAGTTGAGGTATTCTCGGCATTGTCCTGCTCCTTGAGGCCACACTGGGAAGCGCAAACAATGCTGAAGCAGTATTGGGTTCGACTACGTCCAGCTGAGCAGAGCCTCCACGGCGCCATGGTCCCAGATGCCCTGCCAACGACCCACGGTGAATTCCGTCAATCGATACGACCATGGTCCCCATTTGCTGAGATATGGTCACTATGGATAGCACTTGACAAGTGTTGCTAAAATGCCGGGCGCTCCGTGCAGGGAGTTGGCCGGCAGCAGTTTGAGGTTCCGATCCAACGTGGCAGCTCCTAGAATATTGCAGTGGTTACCGCACGAGAATATGTGATATGGCATAACCTGTCTTCATAGTCGTGAAGGCCCGATACTCGACCCCAGGGGAACCGTATCCACCCAGCGAAGGCAGCTGCTGGCGATGTTGAACACCTCAACAATGCTGGTGTATGTCAGGGCATGACGCTTTGAGCGCCAGTGCGTCTGCCAGGTTACGATGTCTATCGATACGGCGAGTATGTCCTGTCCCAAAGAAGTACTCAAAGCAGAGAGTATTAGTGACAGGTCCAGCCTAAGACCTTTCAACACCAGACATGAGGACTGGAGGTGCCAGACGCATCGAGGGGATGAAGTGCCGTCAAGGTGAAATCAAACTCCCATTAGCGGACTGAACAGCGTAGTAATCACCCTCGCAATTCACCTAAACACCACATATAAAAGGAGGAACTGAGGGCTCGGGCGCAAGCGAACGATGCAGGACGGGAAACTCTCTCTGGAAAGCCAGCCTAAGCGGGCTTGCGAGCAAGTAAGCTGTATTCGTGTAGTGACCTTATCCTTCACGCGGGACCAGATGAGAGAGAATGAAAAGAGCAACAATAGAGGGCGAGTTGAGGAGTGGATATCGCCGAGAAAGTTGTTGTATGGCAGAGGACAGAGTGAAGGGGAACGGTCTTGGGCTCTGGCTGATGGGAAGCGGCACGAGACGTCAGGAAAGGCTAGGTAAGGATGTGGTATGGAATGGTATGGTAGGGTAGGGTAGGGTAGAGAGTATGGTCTTTAATAAACAAGGGTGGTGGATTGGCCAGGCAAATGGAGGGGGGCGGAGAAAGACCTGGGGGACGGAGACGGGGGGACCAGCCGGTCGGTGTCGGTGGAGTAAAGTAACCCTCCTGTCGGATGACGCTGGGGAGGCAAAACCAAAGAGGGACTGTTCAATGCTTGACTGGACTCTTCAGGACGGTAGGGGTTGCAGAGTGAAGAAGAGAGAGGGTAAACTATAACCGAGCGCCACGCGTGATTTCGCAGGCCCGACTCGAAGTACCTGACCGGCCGACTATCGAGCAATCGGTTGGTCTGTAGTGTAGAAGAAGAAGAAGGCTTGCCAGGGACGGCAGAATGCCCAGAACCCTGCGTCCCAAGAGGATCTCGAGTCGACGCCGAGCCAACAGGAATGGCGAGAGTTAGGTAAGTGTATCGAGAAAGCCGGGTCTGCTGGACATGAAGAAAGAGGCTAGGCTTGGATGGTGACAGCCCCGAGGCAGGACCTAAGACGAGTGAGGCACTACGGTATGGTAACGTAGTGAGGAGGATGGAGGAGAGAGGAGTCGAGTTTCGCTTGCGGTACTTCACAGCGTGGGAAGTTGATGCATTGTTTGTTGAAACAGTAACGGCAGCTAGGTTACAGAAGGTGATAGAGAGCACCTAGCTAGCCACGACATGTCAGTGCCGAGAACAGCTTTGTATCGTGTGTACAGTACTATACAATACAGTACCGGGTTTATTGTATATGTGTAGGGCGTGCGAGCGAGACCGGGATGGGGAACCTGGAGGGAGGGAAGCGATCCGGGGCAGGCCAGCCCAGGCCAGTCCAGTCCCAGTCCCAGTCCAGCCCAAGGCCAAGCAAGTTCAAAGTGCAGGGAATCAGGGCTTAGGAGGGGTCAGGGACAGCAATGCGAGGTCGCGAAACGGGTCTGGTCGGACGGTGATGAATGGCAGGAGAGAGGAAGGACTGTAGTGTACCTGGTCTACACCGCACCGTACATTGCTGACCTGCACAAGCTCCCCGTAACACCTGCAGCAGGTGGCTCAGCCTGACTGGCCCAGCACAAGGATCAAAGTCGGGGAAGAAGCTGGGCGACCTGACTGGCCCGGGGCAGAGAGTCGTGAGGAGGAAGAGGCGGAGAAGTGCAACTCGCTACTATCAGGTAAATTAAACGAGGTCTAGTGTCGTAGGTCGTAGAGCGGGAAGTCTTGTACTGTAGGTACCGTGTCGTACCTGTAAACTCACTCAGGACGACAGTGTGTACTTTGTTCTGCCGACTACTACTTTGCGAGGCAGCAATGCGGTAATTAAAGACAAGGGGAGGCGTAATGAGCCCGGGGTCGTGATAAGTACAGTAGGTTTGTACTACCGGACCATATTTGAAAGGACTCAAAGAACACCTGAGCCACGGATTAGACACCATTGAGAAGTTAGCTAATAAGTATGGGTGGTGTGTGGTGTTGGTAGTATGTGACATGTCTACAATTCTGAACGAGATGGTCACCTCCGGCCTTTGCCATGTAGTAACGAAGAAGATAATAAAGATACGGTAAGCAGGCGACGCTGGAGGTCCAGCACACTTCGGCACTGCAGCGATGGTGCTCAAGTACATACATGCATCATACATGCATGCTCCAGGGTTTCAAGATGGACGGACTAGAGGGTCAATTGATTCATCAATTGATCGGTCAGTCACATGGTTTAAGAGTGCTTGAAGACACTCGAATTATCAGCCACTCTGGTCGATGTTCGATGTTATGGGAGGGATAGTACATCCATACAATATTCTATGACTGATTGATGACCGACGGACGCCGCCGACAGACGACGACGACGACGAGCGGGGAAACGAAAACCAGGACGGGCCCCTTGCTCTCTTCGCAGGGGCGACAAGTTAGGACGTATGTACTTACATGTAATTACTTGTACAGCGCGCATCATCCAACGAGGAGGATGATTTTTTTTTTTTCTTTTTTCTTTTCCCCCAAAGTGCACCTGCAGCAAGGCAGAGCCAGTCCAGCATTTCCATGGGGTAATAACCCGGTGAAATGGCGTCCTGGCTGCTTGCTTCTAGAATCGATCTTCCAGATCTTCGCTCGCGATGCAGACAGAGTTGCCCCTGTCTTTCTCTGCCGATCACAAGGTCGTGCTAGCTAGTGGTGCCTTTTTGCCCGTGATCATGATAATAATGATGAGGCTTAGACATGTTCATTCGCGTGCCCGCAGCCTACCTAAGTTTTTAGACAGAAATGACAAGAGTTGCGAAGGAAGAAGTGGCAGGCCTTTCTTCTCCCAACCTGCCACCAGAAGTTTACCGTAAGTCTCACTGCATGGGTGCTGTGCCTCTGCATCCAAGGTCAAAAAGATCCGCCTGCAAAAGTTAAGGCAAGGTTTGGCGGCGACGGGTAGTCTAAGGGCCCCTCCCGCTCCCGTCCAGGACAGTCCGGACAGTACCCGAGACCAACAGCCTCCACTTCTGGCGGGCCTAAGTTGGAGCTTACTGCATAGTAGGTACGGACCGTACTGGACTGTATTCGGTCTATAGGTAGCATCTCACATAGTTAAGGGACCTTAGTAGCCAATGGCTTATTATGATTGCCAAGGTAAGATACCTCGAGGTAGGGAGGTTACGCAAGGTTGCTTCATGTCCTGTACTGTACTGTACTGTTCTGTTCTGTTCCGTTCTCTACTGTACTGTGCTTCATCGGGCTTACCTGGTCTTGCCCGCTTATCCCAATACGGCAGGCTTGAAGTGTCACGCGATGCACAGAGCTTTCGAAGAAACGCCCGAAGACGGATGGGTGGCACAGCTTACAGGGGCAAGGAGGGTGTGACATTAACGTCTATCCCCATTGAACCAAACACCTTACTCCAATGCTCGCGGTAGTTAGACTGATTCGTTCTTGACAGCTCTGCTAACTCCGAAGTATCTTAGGTTTGGAGGCACATTCAATGTGCGCAGATAGGTGGAAGAGAAGAGAAGAGAAGAGAGGGTTACCCGACCTTGTGGCAAAACTACGCAGTAATGACCCGAGTCTCCAGAGTGTGTCGGCGCCTGCCGTCACACATGAATGCATTTTGATCTTGCAAGGTCATGACCACTAGACTTTGCCCGTCCACAGGCACAACTCAACTCAGGTAGAAGAATCCCTCAGCGAGCCTAGGTAGATGATGAGGAAGGCAAACATCAAGGGGCCAGGGCCGGGACCAGAGCCAGAGCTAGAGTCAGAGCCAGAGCCAGAGCCCACGACCATGACCAGATTCTGGTGAGATGCCACGATCACGGTAGTGTCGTGTCATAGTATTCGAATACCCTATGCATTCGCAGCACATCTATTGCGTCCCAACTTAGGCCAGTGTGATTCATCTGCTTGGTGTGCTTTATGCCTATGTGGTGAGCAGTACCGGTAGGGTAGAGAATGCCTGGGAATGTCTTCCTTCTCCCCCGGCATCTCCGAGCTTCCTCGCTTCGTCCTTTGTGCCACATCGAGTCCCTTCTCATCCCCAATCCCTCCTCTGCTACCTAGGTAGCCTCATTCTCCTTCTTCTACATGCTCCTCGGGGTTTTGAGCAGTTGACTAGGTGTTTAATTAAGCACAGCATAACGTAACTGATGGTTGAGCGAGCACATGCTCGTTTCTTCATCACGTTTGACATTTGGCTGGCTCCAAGTCGGGGTACGTGTCCCTTTGGATCGCCGTGTTTAGCGCATGACGCAGGCGGCACCCGTGTCCAGGTCCCAGGCCACCGGGATAGCACCACTTACTGCGTGCTGCCCATGCGGCGATAACACTGCCCACGGTTCCGGTTTACAAATGCGCCATATTTTGACGATGATGGAAGCGGTCAGCCATGATCCCGCCTGGTCTGCGACATACGCGCCAAGATATATATACTGAACACTACACTGACTACCCAGGGTTTATCTGAGCGGCGGTCATTTTTACCGGATTGCAGATACATCTCATCATGCCCATGTCATAACAAGTGCCAACATTAATCCATCCAGATATGGTCATTGTGAAAACGACGCCTCAATGGCGGCCATCCACAGCGTGCATGTCAATCTGTTGCACATTACCGGTACCCAGAGAGCTTTTTTCTTCGTTAGCAGGTTGTTGATTACCCTTGCCATTCATGCCCCATCCCAAGGTGTCAGATCATGCACCTGAAGCATATCAACAGCTTGATGAGATACTAAGGTCGCCTCTTCATTTGACGCGTCTTTTTTTGCATGGGAGCAGAATTGCCCTGCCAGGTGTCTTGTTATTCGGCCCAAGGTGATTGGCCAATTGCGACGTATGATCACGTGAATGGGCATGTGAACGGCTATTCCCAAACAGGCAAGGAACTTTGCTCCATGCTTGGACGTCAAACCACCAAGCAAATCAGACCATTTCCATTTCGTCCCGTCAAACCTGACCCTCCCGAATCCCCTTCCTCGGTCTTCCCAAACCACCTCTCCCGTACCTCGACGACGCTCTCCACTCCTCAATTGACCATCGCCATGTTCTTGCAACGCTCCGCCATCGCCGTCACCCGCCGGGCTGCCGTGTCCCCCGTGCTGAGACGCAGCTTCGCTACCACCCTCCTTCGCCGTGAGTCCATTTCCTTACCGGCCGCCCGACCGCCCGAGCGCAGACATACAAATCAACCAGAGACTCCCGTGCTATTGCCATTGTGATCACCCGGCTTCCGGTGACCTAGCACAGCAATTGGCCCTGCACGACTCTTTCTCTGATTGATTGCGACGCCTCGCGGGTTCTCAATTGGCGTTTCATGATTTACTAATCTTTCATGACTAGGCGATGCCGTTCCGGATGCCGCGAAGCAGGACACCAAGCTGAAGGCCCTTGCCGGTACGATCCCCCCCGCCTGCCTATCCTGTTTTACACCTACCGACCTACATCACCTCTACGCTGCGGAGAGGGGTGATTAAACTCTTGGTATTCGGCAGGAGGGAATGAAGAGTGAGGCTGACATTATGCATCGTGTAACAGATATCAAGACTCGCGAGGATCTTCTGGGACCCGGCGCCAAGCCTGGCACTGTTCCCACAGATATCGAGCAGTCCACCGGTATGGAGCGGCTAGAAATCTTGGGCAAGATGGAGGGAGTTGACATCTTCGACATGCGACCTCTTGATGCATCCCGAAAAGGTCAGTCTTGAAATGGAGTCCTATTGCCACGACCCGTGTCACGATGCGGGATGGCAACATCCTGACAGCTTATGGGCTAACAATACCACTAGGCACTGTGGAGAACCCAATTCTGGTCCGCTCTGCTGGTGACGAGCAGTATGCCGGTTGCACCGGCAGCCCGGCTGACTCCCACAACGTCATCTGGCTCGGCATGTCCCGTGAGCGGCCGGTCGAGCGATGCCCCGAGTGCGGCAGCGTCTACAAGATGGAGTACGTCGGCGCGCAGGATGATGGTCACGACCACGGCCACGACCACCATCACGGGTACGAGGAGCCCAAGACATTCGCCAACTTTGTCAAGCCCCAGTATTGGTAAAATGCTACCGCTCAGCTGATGAGGGATGGAGAACATTGACTGAAACGACAAGGGGGGGATGAGAGGATATCTCTCTGACTGTGACTGCCTATGTAGCAGATTGTGTAGATTATTGATCCGCAAGAGAGGGTAGTTGTATAGAGTTTATATTTGCCAAGTTTTTTCCCCAGATGCTATGCCTCGTTGTCATGGCCTCGTAACTACTCCCTCAGCTAGCAACTTTGTGTAATCCGACTCCAACGCTTCACTATTCATGAGTTATTCAAGCTGCCGCATGGTTATTCAACTAGCAAGAGCCCAACAGCCCAAGGCCCCATGGGGCATGGTTCTGTCCACAGTGTCTCAATCTCAAATTGAGCAACGACTATAGTCATGAGTATAGAGGCTCTCGAATGGCTCGTTCTATGTAGAGACTGCATCTCCGCCGTGCTGCTGATATGAAACCAGACGCACAGGTTTCTAGATGACTAGCAGTTGCAATCAGAATGCAACTCGTGGAGCTTTCGAGCACACGGAGCATGGCGGTTTAGACGCCCAAGGCTGCCAGATCAGCAGTCTTTGACGTCCCGAGACCTATGCATGAAGTGGTCCGCTGTATCCCTCAGTCGCCGTCGTCATCGTCACCAAAGCTCAACTTGATTTTCTTGACCTTCTTTTTCCCCTTGACAACCGGTCTGTTTGCTTCTCTCTTCTCGTGCTTGCCAATCTCGGCGATTTTCTTGCTGGCGTTGGGCTGGGAGTCTGGGCCTTGGTCTTGATCAGGACCTTGATCATCCTCTTCAACACCTCCGCCGCCTACGATCCTACCCGCCTTCCGCTTCTTGGCCCCTCCAATACTGGCTACCTTCTCTGCGACGGGATCCACGGGGTCCGCCCGTCGCTCGTCATCGCCATCGTCCGCCTCACTAGGCATGGCGCCTTCGTGCTCGTTCGACTTGGTGCCGATCTCCTTGACCGTGCCGTCCCGCTCCACGCTCACGCTGGACACGACATTGCCGCTCTCGTCGACGACAAGCGGCGCATCTTCGGCCTCCTCGCTCCCGGATCTCTGCTTGGCGGGGCGGCGGCGGGCGGCTAGGATGGGGTCGGGCGACTGCGAGTCGATAGTCGCCTGGCCACGGAGACGAGCGAGGAAAGGGGGCAGAGACTGGTCATAGTGCAGGTTCTTGCCGTTGATCTTGGCTTGCGACATGGCTGCGAAGCTGAAGTTTTTGGCGGACGATGCCTTGTGTTGGCGTACGATCGGGGAGACTTGACACGCGAGCCCTGCCACCTGAGGTAGCTTGCTAGGCTTCTGAGACCCTTTATGGATGAGGCATGAAAGGCAAGCAGGTGGTGGCTCAAGCAGGTGGGGGAAGGCTGATTCGGAGATGCACCTAATGTACACGTACCTGCCTACCTTACTGCATAGTAGGTAGGGCCTGATTTGCTTCTTGGGCAAAGATGTCCCCGTCGATTAGCGTGGTGCGGGGACCTAGGGGTACCTACCTTACCTAGGAGCTTAGGTACCTAGGTAACCAGTATGTACAGTACCTACCTGCATACCATGAGGTACTACCAAGACCAGGTATCTACCCACATCTCTCAACTACCTACCTCACCTGGGTAGATGGTGCTTCTACTGCATAGTAGATGCGCGATGCCAGCACGCATCTGAGCATCGATCTGATTTGGAGTTGGCGCCAGCAGGAGGCTGCCATCAGAGGTACCTACCTACATATGAGGGATGGGCCGGATGGCTGATCACTGGCGGGAGAGTCGGGAAGTACTACGACTACGCCCAGGTGGCGGGTACAATGTCTTGTTCGCTCTGGTCGCTGTGCTGGGTCTTGTCACCGCTCTGAAAATCCTCTTCAACATCTTGAGCTTCGTCTACCTGTACCTCCTCCGGCGCTCCAGCCTCGGGCGCTACCTTCATTCCACAGACGGCAAGCCAGCCTGGGCCCTGGTAACCGGCGCATCAGACGGCCTCGGGAGGCAGTTTGCCCACGAGCTGGCCGCCCGCGGCTTCAACGTCGTCGTGCATGGCCGGAACCCTGCCAAGCTGGAGGCTGTCCGAGATGAACTCGCCATTGCCTTCCCGGGCCGATCTTTTCGCGTGCTGGTTGCAGACATCTCGGCAATCCCCTGTCATCGCTGCCAGCCCGCGGCGAGCACGACTCCTTCTGCTACAGAATCGACGCAGACGGTGGACCTGGGAGCTATTGTCGCTTCCCTCTCGGACATCAACCTGACTGTCTTGATCAACAATGCCGGCGGTGGTGTCCTCAACTCCTCTGGCCAGCCGACGTTCCACCCTCTGCAGGCCTTCCCGCAGTCAACTGTTCTCGGCAATGTCAACGTGAACGCCATCTTTCCCCTGTTGCTCCTGCACAAGCTCATACCCCAGCTCATCCGCAACGCTCCGTCCCTAGCCATCAATATTGGCTCCATGGCGGACCAGGGAATGCCACTGCTATCCTTCTATGGCCCCAGCAAGACATTCGCAATGGGCGTCGCAGGCTCGCTGGCCCTCGAGATGATCCTGGAGGGCCAGGATGTTGAGGTGCTTGGCGTGCGCCTGGGAGAAGTGACCGGTGTCTCACACTACAAGGCCGCCCCGACGATATTCGGTCCCAGTGCGCAGACCATGGCAAGGGCTGCGCTGGAGAGGGTAGGCTGTGGCCGCCCGACCGTTATAGGCTATTGGGCACATGCGCTTCAGCAGGCAGGTGCGAATCTTTTGCCAGACTTTTTGAAAGATCGGATCCTGTTAGATATCATGAGTAGGCGTAGGGAGGACGAGAGGAGAAAGCTAAAGAGTGCGTGAACTGCTCTGCTGGCCCTCGAGACCAGGTTCTTGATTATTGGTGGGCAAATTCCCAAAAACACCCAAGAGCCTGGTGTTTCATGATGTGGCACGTGCGTGCTTTCTTGAATACACCGTACTCTACACGACAGCCGGGAGACTGCGAGCGCGTTATTCTAACCCCCAACAAGTGCAGTGTATGTCACACGGCCTCCGATCTGGACCACACGAGTATGTTGAGCCAAGTTGATGATTAATTAGCTACTATACTACCCAAGCCTGTTGGAACCCATGACTTGCAGTCGATGGCTGTGGAAAGCGTGCACAACTTTGGTCGCAAACATCCAGTAGATACCCCTGACCCAGGTTCCCGCGCCAATGCCACGATATCAAACACTCCATTCACGAACGTTGACACGCCCTCTCTATAATCTGCCAGAAGGCCCCGCAAAGCACCAACCCCGGGTCTTCGTTCGGCCGAACATTCCCCTCTTAACCACAGTCAGCAGCTTGATAATGCTATTGTAGCTGAGGCATATACCTCATGGGCCGCATTTCTGCCTTCGCAAGAGACAGATCGACCCTCTTGGAAATGTGCAGACCGACCATCATTTTTCATCGTTAGGTTAAGGTTAAAGTGCGAGGATTTATCGACGAGGATAGCCCGACATCCAGGGTAACTTCACCGACTTACTCAAATAACATGATGGATTTGACTCTGCCATCAGGCTGATTGATGCAGTCTACCATTTGAGCCACTTCCTGGACGACAGACAAAATCGTAAACACCAAACAGGTGTTTTGGTCAACCAGCCACATGCTGCATAGTTCGAGTGAAGAGGGCGGAGGATTCGCAGTGGCTCCCGACATGCAGATCCTCAAAAGCGATCACTTCTAATAGACTGGGCAGCGGCTGTGTCGGTGCGTGTAATCGGTCATAAACAGTTCTCAGCTCGTGTAACGAGGAGACAAGCAGGTTGGCCCAATGGCTCGTGGCCAACGGCTCATCTTGATGGGTATTATCGCCAGCCAGGGACGTGCTCTCTGAAGGAGTGAGGGGCCGATCGCTGGGTATAGGGGATGACCTCTCCACAACTTCGAAAGCATTGTGATCTCTAGGCCACGGAGTTGAAGCGGTGGCAGGGACGACAAAGTGCGGCGATGGGGACGAGGCGCCTTGACTCTTCAGAAACCACTTGGTCTTTCTATTTAGCGCTGGACGACTCCGGAGGGTGGAGCGGCCTTCCCTCTTATATGCTCGGCGTCTTTTTTGAACTTTGGCTTTGGCTTTCATCTCGCCCGTCTCAACATGGGTGCAGAGACCCCATCGCTTGAGATTCGACTGGTATTGCCTGCCTCTGAAAGTAAATGTCAGCCATCATGGCAATTATGATAACTCCTGAGAAGGACAGGACGGGCGTCGGTGAAGTAGCTGTTGTTGGAGTCGTACTAGGTTACATACGTAGCCAGGAACCCAAAAACATCCCTCATTACCTTAACCACCTCGGTCAAGTCTCTGTGTTCTGCCCAATAAAGTTCTTCTATGGTGAGGCGTTGGTCATCCCAGTCTTGGCTGCACTGCGGCCGAAGAATATGTCCAGAAGCCTGCTTCATGGTGGAGAGGAACGCGATGAGCCGTTTATCGAATTGACAAGAGTAATATGTGCAATGGTAAATGAAGAGAGGTATGATCTGATTAAGTGTATCCGCTAGTAGTAACGCCTGAAGTGTTTGAAGACCAGCTTCTCTACTGAAACAAACAAAGACTGGACGAGTGATGGCTGTAAACAGTTCGAGATGTGATGAGGAGAAACGCAGGACGACAAGAAAAGAGCACAAGAGGGAATGCGGGCTCTAAGACAGATATGTATGGGAACGTGCTCGATGTTCTCAGGGAACCCGACTCGGTACCTGCTAACCCAAGCTTGGGTCCATGACCTACAGATGAATGTGACGATGTGCTCGGCTGAACTCCCACTGCATAAGGCACGGTATGGTCAGATGGTGAGGTAGTAGCCCAGTTGCCAGGATTCCATGGCTGACTGGGATGTTTCTGGACTTTGGTATTGGAGCTGCCTCCTGGCACGCACGCACACACGCACGTAAAGCATTGCACCGCGAGGCACGCATTAGTCTGGAGTTCTTCCCTACAATACTGTAAGTATTATTATCTAGTGTAGAGCGTAAGCCCACAACAAGGTGAATGTGCGCAATGGCATTGATCGATTGATGGATTGACTGATTCATTCATTCATTCATTCATTCATGACTTGGACGACGAGACGGCCATGCATGTCACACAAGAAGAGGCCGGCTGGGGAGCGGCCATTTGAAACAGCAAGGGTCCACGCAGGAGGCTGTGGCGGCTGTTTCGGGGGGTTGCAGGTTGCCGGGGGTTTGGGGGTGAGCGGGCAGTCATCGGAGTTTCGAAACGCGCATACGGAAGCCCCTTATTGATGCCAATCACCCTTCAAGTTATGAGGACTCACTCTGTCTGTCTATCTGCCTGTCAGTCAGCGCCTGTCAGCGAGCGTCAGCCTCCGCCCCGGATCCAGGCCTCAGCCTCCAGCCTCGCTCGTCCCGAGGATGACAAGCAAGAGTGCAAAGTACAGACAAGGGAAACAACTAAGATGCATCTACTCGGCTGGCGGCAACCTTGGAAAGCCCATAGGTCACAGTTAGTATCAAGACCAAGACCAGGCAGAAAGTGATCTCACTTCCAGCAGCAACGGGGGAATGGGCACTCCCTAGACTGGGTAGGTAGGTAGAGCATCCAGGTAGACAACACGCCAGGAGCACTCTTCATTACCACCACATATCCCAGCATTAAACCAGACTACACCAATGGCCTGTTCTTATCCGTCCGTTCCAACTTCCAAGGCTGTTAGGACATACTATGTATGCCCTGCCCGAGACCCCACCAAGGTACCGTTGGAGGATACGACGGAGTAAATAAGAAGATGTGAGTTGCATGCCGTCGTCCTCGTGCTCTTCGTCGCATCGTCATGGTTGCAAGAGTCACCAGGAGAGCGACACACGCTCCCGGGCACCCAGCTAATCAGGCTTCTCTGTAACGGAGCAAGTAATTGGAACATTCATTAGGGTAGGTATCCAGTGAAAGTGAGGTATCTAGGTACGGGCGGAATGTCATAATAGAGTGAGGGACAAGGAGTTGAAGACTGGAACGCTAACATGCTCAACGTTACTAACATTTAAGTCGGCGTCAGTCGCAGGAAATCGTTAGACACGATGGCCAGCGCTGGCGATCTCTTCGAGCCAGCTGGCGCACAACCGCCTCCAGCTGGCGAAGGAGACACGCAACCTGTCAAATTTTGCGCCCCTGTCCGTCATACCCGTGGACAAATTGGGAACTCGAGAACCAAGGAAGGAACTTGGAAGACCCCCCCCCCCCCCCCCCCCAAACCCCTTCCAGCCAAGGCAGGAACGAAGAAGTACCAAGGTACCTCGCCTACTTGCTCAAGCCCCACTGCAGCCCCTTTTCCAGCGCCCTTCAGATCCCTCTCAACAGCCCCAAGATGTACTAGACCCAGGTACCTAGATACCTACCTAGGTACTCTGTAGGTTGGTAATTAGGTAAGATATTTTTACCCCTATGTAGGATGGAAGGTACGTACCTGCCGGTGCCGCCAGGTTGCCCTTTCCTCTTTGGCCTGCCTTACTCGAGACGCGCGTGAAGAAGGCCATCTCGCTCCCACTAATTACCTAGTTACCTATCCTCTAAATCTTCACTCCTCTCGCGCCTCATCGGCTTGGTGCTTCTTTTTCCCTTCCCTTCCCTTTCCCTTTCCCTTTCCGCCCGCACGCCCGCTCGCGTCACGGCTACCGGCGACGACTCGAAACTTGTCAGCGGAGCAACGACAATTGGGTCCCATCTCCGTTGCCTCTCGATCAATTCGTGTTCCACCTGATTCCCTCCGCTGCTGCTGACGGACTGACGACAATCGTCTCCTCGCCCTCCCCCTGGAGGCGTCCCTCGCGGCGGATCCTTCCAGCGCCATTCCCATCACCGCGAGAGTAGCCCTCAACAGCAAATACAACTACAAGCGACGCCATGGATCTCATCCGGCGAGCCTCTCGCTTCATTCCCAAGGGGCCCCCTCAACTCCCCACCGCCGACGAGAAGAAGTCCGACAAGCCCCGGTCGGCTCGTCTATGGTCACGCCTTGCCTTCTTTCGTAGACCTCTTCGGCTCAAGGGCAATTCCAGCATCTCCGTGCCCCTCGGCATCGTCCTGCTTTTCCCATGCATTGTCGTCATACTCATTTTAGTCCTGTTCGTCAGGCATCCCAGCTCCCCCGGCAGGATCCTCATGCCCGCCGGGGCACCTCCAGCTATTCGGTAAGCAAAACCCTATCTGGTTTGCCGCAGACTCTCCCTCTAGTCCTCTGTTTTTACCGATTGATCCCTTACTGACCGCTTTATTCCCCCCCTTCGCAGAAAAATCAGCGAGGAGCATGACAAGGTGTTCGTGACGGGGTGCCTGGAACCCGACACGTCGAAACCTCGAGCGAATGGCGCCTTTGTCGTTCTCGCCCGGAACAAGGAGTTGGACGGTGTCATCCAGTCCATCAAGTCCATCGAGCGCCACTTCAACCGGTGGTACCACTACCCCTACGTGTTCCTGAACGATGGCGAGTTCAATCAGACTTTCAAGGATGTCGTTGCCAACCATACCTCCGCTCCCGTCGAGTATGGTGTTGTTGGCCCCGACATGTGGGGTTACCCCGACTGGATCGATCCCAAGGTCGCTAAGGAAGGTATCGCTAAGCAGGGAGATGCTGCCGTCATGTACGGAGGGTTAGAAAGTTACCATGCCATGTGCAGATTCTACTCTGGGTAAGTTTGTCCATGGATTTCCCCGGACGGTAGACCCGGCTCTTGAATATGTCCATCATGATTCTCTAACAGTTTGAGCAGCTTCTTTTACAAACACCCCATTCTCGCCAAATACGAATGGTACTGGCGTCTGGAGCCGGAAATCAAGTACTTCTGCGATATCACATAGTATGTCTACCCCTGAGACGCAACCTTCAGTGCTTTTCAAGTCTTTCTCTAACCTGACCGCAGCGATCCGTTCCTGAAGATGATTGAGAGCAACAAGACCTACGGCTTCACCATCGCCGTCAAGGAACTCAAGGAGACCGTCCCGAACATCTTCCGATATGCTTCAGCCTACAAGCGTATGAACAATATGACTTCAAAGGGTCTCTGGGAGATGTTCGTCGACCCGCTAGAGAAAGAACCGGAAAAGCCCAAGGAGGATACTTCCAAGGCGCCTCCGCTCCCCGAGGAGATCTTGCGCTCCGATCCCAATCGCAACAGCCTACCCGAGATTGAATTGGAGGCCATGGAGGGCGAGAAGTACAACATGTGCCATTTTTGGTCCAATTTCGAGATCGCCAGCCTCGAGTTTTTCAGAAGTAAGGAGTATGAAGATTTCTTTCAGATGATGGATCGCAGCGGCGGATTCTGGATGGAACGCGTAAGTCACATAATCAACGTCCATTCACCTTGAGGCTCGGCACGTCCCTTGCTAATCATATATTCCTCATAGTGGGGTGATGCTCCCATCCACTCGCTTGCAGCCGGCGCCCTCCTTGCTCCGCGAGATATCCACTATTTCCGTGACTTCGGTTACCGACACACAACTATCCAGCATTGTCCTGCAAACGCCCCTGCAAGACAGCTCCCGCGCGAACCGTTTCTGGAGAAGACAACGTTGGACGAGCGCAAGCGGCTTGAAGAAGATCAATACTGGGACCAGTTCGACCCGCCGAAGGAGAATGGTGTAGGCTGCCGCTGCCGCTGCGATACCGACATTGTTGACGTCGAGGGCAAAGAAGGCAGTTGCCTTGCCGAATGGGTGGATGTTGCGGGCGGCTGGGCTAGCCCCTAAACTAATATCTAGATGGCCTTGATAAGTCTAGAGGTGTCACGGACCTTCTACGAGTCACGTCGAATGTATACAACGGTTTTTGTCGCTAGAAGTATCACTATCGACCCTGAGCGGTGGCCACATTGCGTGGTAATCATATCGCGGGTCGTTGTTTATTATGCCTGGTTTTCGCATGGGTTTTGGGTACTGTCACATATCATCGTCATCCTGGGACTAAACTTAATGAAAAGACTATACTATACAACTCAAACCAGTCGTCCAAGGTGCCATAACCATGCTCACATGCAATCCCTGGGCACAGAGGGTCTCTTCGAGTGCAAGGTCGCGTGATCGACATTTGTACCTTGCACAGTACTCTACTCGTAAAGGTCAACTATTTCCCACTCGTCAGTTGTGATCTGCCGGATTCTCACTGGCTTCCCGGCAACTTTGCTAAGCTCGCTGACGGTCTTCTAAGGTCGACTATCCCCTAGTTGTGTATGCCATCATTGCCCACTGGCGAAGACCTAGACGTACAACGACGACAACGCGAAGCTCTGGATGGCATATACATTTTTGGGGGTTGAGTACACTTTAACCTAGTGCCAATTCTGAAGCTATTGATAGCCTTCATTCCCTTTGAGTATTATTGTTCTACCAATCTGTATCTGCCAACGGCTCCGCTAAATCAGTGACCGCTCCATGACTGGCATCGCCAACGAGGCGTGCGTATTTAGCCAGAGCCCCCCTGAGAGGACGTTGTGCCGGAGGCGTCCAGCTCTTCTTTCGCTCACGCAACTCTTCGACGCTGATGTTCAAGACATCTATCCGGTTCTCCACAGCATCAATCCGCACCTCGTCCCCGTCACGCACCAATGCGATCGGCCCACCCACAGCCGCTTCAGGGCAAACATGTCCGACGATGAACCCGCGGCTTGCCCCGCTGTAACGCCCATCAGTGACCAGTGCAACATTGGACAGTCCTGCGCCCATGATAGCCGCACTGGCTTTCAGTTGCTCCGGCATGCCGGGGCCCCCGCGGGGACCTTCGTACCGTACGATAAGCACCAGGTTGCCGTCGGTAGCTTTGATATCGCCCTTCTGCAGGGCCGAGTCGAGTTCGTGCTCCTTGTTGAAGATGCGTGCCTTGCCAACAAAAGCAAGACCCTCCTTGCCTGTGATCTTGGCCACGGCACCGGCAGGAGCCACTACATATCGAGTCAATATATTGCCAGCAAGATGAGCAGGCGATGTGCCTCTATCAGCCGGTCTTCGATGCCATTACCCCATTGCAGGGATGGCGAGCGGAACGTTGGCTGCTTCAAACCTCGTAGCCTCGAACGGTGAGAAGGGCTTGACAAGGTTACTTACAGTTTCCTCGCAATATGCGTAAGTGGCCAGTGGCCTTGATGGGGTCAGTCAGCGGGCGAATAATTTTCTGATCAGGTGGCAATGACGGCCAGGACTCGCAGTTCTGTGCAAGAGTGAGCCCAGTGACTGTAGGGATTGATCCATTGATGAGGCCAGCCGCGATGAGCATCTTCAGAACAGACGGTGTGCCGCCAACTCTGTACAGGTCTTCCACTATAACATTTAGAGTCAGCAATTTCATTGTGCCAGTGACGAGCTAGGAAAAAGTTGGATGAAGATGTCTCGGGAGCAAGTGTCCTAGATTGGGACCGTGTCATTGTGTCGAACACTCAAAACATGGCCATGACAGTTGAAAATGAATTCCAGAAGTTTCTTACTGTAATACTTCCCACTCGGTGCCATATCGGCAAGATATGGGACGCGGTTACTCGTGCGCTGCACATCGTCCAAGGTCAACGGCACGTCAGCGCTGTTCGCCATGGCTAGAAAGTGCAGCACGCCGTTCGTCGATCCGCCAAGGGCCATGGTGAGCACCAGCGCATTCTCGAAGGCAGCGCGTGATAGCAGATCGCGCGGACGGATGTCCTTCTCCATGACGACTTGGATCGCATCGGCCGCACGCTCGCACTCCCTGGCCTTCTCGGGCGAAGTAGCCGGAAAGGAGCTGCTGCCGGGGAGAGTCAGGCCCATTGCCTCGATTGCAGTCGCCATGGTGTTGGCCGTGTACACTACAGCATCTGGAGTCAGCAATGGCCTCGCGAGGGCAGTAAGTAGGTAGGGAGATGCTGCAATGGAGGTGTCACAGGAGGCGCCCTCCAGGTATGGGCTGTGCTTGTGTCGTCAAAGACCGAAATCATGGTACGAATAGGGGAACATGAATTCCAGGAGTCGCTTACTGCCACCACAAGCACCGGCCCCGGGGCATGCGTGCTGCTCGATATCATCCATCACATCCGACGGGGTGGCTGGCTTGCCGTTCACGGTAGGGTCTTTGCACTTGGCATGCAACTTTCCATATACAAAGGCACCCTGCGCTTCGTAGCAGGTGCTGATGTTGATATCTTGATCTAGCAACGCACTTCGGCCTTTCATGATGGTCCCACCGTAGATCATCAGGAAAGGGCGGTTGTGCCGAGCTGCAGCAATCACCACACCGGGCATATTCTTGTCACATCCGGGGATACTAATGTTGGCGTCGTGGCGCTGGGCGCAAGTGACAGACTCGATACTATCAGCTATGATTTCTCTTGTCTGCAGAGAGTAGCGCATGCCTAGACGAGAGAGTTGCGTCAACCAACCATGGTCAGAAGCCCTTGTAGCAGGAGGATCCATAGCATCATACCTTCGCTACCCATAGTGATGGCATCTGACACGCCAATGGTGTTGAACTGCCACGCAAGCATTTTGCGCTTCTCCACGGCATTCTTTACGGTCTTTCCGAGATCCATGACTGCACGACGTTAGTCTGTTGTCGTCCCGACCTGTTTGCTCGACAGCAATGGCACTCCAAGCGGCTTACGGTGTGTACTATTGCGAATCGATCAGTTCTTGTTATTTCTCGCGACAGGATTCAATCTCCTACTTGCACGGGTTTCCCTCCCACCAGACCGTTGCGATACCCACCTGAGGCGCGTTTTTCATCATATCTTGATTCGGCACTCCAGCGCCGTAGAGCATTGCCTGACACGGGGTACCTATCAGCAAACTTCTTCGAGAACGGGAACGAGCAACTCCCTTGGGCGCATGGACTGAAAAGGGGCCCCCTCAACGGAGTCGGGTCCCGGGGCAGAGGTCAGGCATGCTGTAGCTGCTTAACTGCCATAATGCAGAAAGGCTCGACATACCTGGGCACCTGGATAATCGTGGGATCTGGTAATGGTTTGAGACCACCGATTTAACGGCCCACCAGGAGGCAAGCACTCCCACTCAATATAGTCTCCGGGCTTGGGCTGGTTTCTCGCGGGGTGGCCACCGGGCCCGTTGTCTTGAGAGCTCATCCTGGCACAATTGACGATGTACACTTGAATCTCAAAACGTCAATCAGAAGCGTGGTCAAGTTACACGAGAGAGAGTAGCCGATCGTCAGGCATGGAAGACAAGAATGAGAGAACAGGACAGAGGGGGCAGTCTCGTTCGACTCGTGACTTGCTTGTAGAACAGCTTGTGTCCTAGTGGGGCTCCGGATGCAGCAGCAGCACCTAAAGCTTAGCTTGACGGTGCCGACTGAGGGGAGCTCGGAACGCTGGGCCAGCCAACGGACTAATCAGGCCTTGTACGGTTTGAACAGGAGCATGGGACACAGCCGTCTTCGAATGATCCACTGTTACTGTTTCTGCATGAGCAAGATCTAAACTCATTGGGCCAACCCCATAGGCTACAAAATGGTAAAACGCAATTCATGAAGGGGCCCGCTGAAGAAAAGACAGGGGGAGAAGGGGACGAAGAATTGACGGAAATGTTATCCTATATGCCCAGATAACGGGCATGCCACGATATTATCACGGAGAAATAAAGCTACGTGAGGGAGACCGTTGTCCTGGAAGCCCATCACATCGATTCTTTATAATATGACCGAGGAAAGCTGAGCCTACACTACACTCAAAGATCTCGTCAAGTGAACAAAACCATCAGACCATGACCGTGACCGTGACTGTGACCGTGACCATTTGGAAATTCAAAGCGGGGGCGGGGGAAACATGAGTCTATTACTTGCACTATGGTTGGAGAGTAACACAGTGGCTTAAGGCTAGTGCAGCTTTTCAGTCGAATCAGGAGCTCTCCATTTATAAGAAAATAGGGGATCGAAGGGAAGAGAACAAGTAAGGTACTGTAAATAACTTGGCCCCACTGAGAATGGCTTTCGCAGTTTTGATATCGGATCGACCAACCCCTCCTTGTCTACCTACCTAGACTAGACTGAATAACTAGGTCTCAGAATCCGAGGACCGCAGTCTTCAACCGCTCTTCACTCACTTGATCGGACTAGGTAGTCATCTTGTAAAAAGGGTTTATGCATGTCATATAGTCATCTAGGGGCGGCATATCTCTGCGACGGACCCGAAACGGATGCAGCATTCGCTCGCAATACTTATCACATGATATCGCAGCGTAGATACCATGGTACAGGTCCTATACAGTGTCGGCACTTGATGCTGCCGAAGACCGGAGACTCGGAGGAGACGGGGACGGACAGGTGGGGCCGGGGTCGGCTCGGGTCGCACAACAGTACAGTACAGTAACAACTACCTTGCATCTTCCAGGTTTTGACACACTCGGCTTCGCGATGGATGATTAGCGAATACTGAGTGAAATCCATTTTGCCTGGTGTATCGGCGATCACGCGTTATGCAAATCGCAAATGGTGTAGGACCCATGATATCGTGCTGATGTCTGCGTCCCTTGTTGCGCCACTCAACTGCTTCACGGTCTATGCCAGAAGTGGTCTTTGAGCACATGCGTATATATCTCAGGACAGTGGATTGTCATGTTCTTCTCATTCTCTCGTTCGTTCTCTAATATACATAGTTTGCCCAGTCCCGATATTCCTGGTTCAGGGGCCAGTAGTCTTTTCCTTCCCATCCGTTGCGTTGCGCACATGCCGTGCCAGTCCATGAAGCCTCCGTCATGAGTCACTCTTCCAGCCTACGCCTCACGTCACGCAAGGCACAGTTCGTCCTCCGCTCAAGATAGACGAGTAGTGGAATAGGTGAATCGTAATGAAAATGCATGCTTGTGTGGTGTCGTCACGTCATTTCCCGGCAAAGCGAAAAATCGAGAAAAGAAAAAGAGACGGCCAAAATCAAAGAAACGAAAATAGTAGGAGGGGGGAAAAAATTGAAACAAACAACGTGGAGGGGAAGTCGGTCTAAGCCTCTGCCATATTCTTGATATGCTCGCCTGCTCCCGCTTGCCGGAGAGCCTGGTAGGCCAGTCTCACCACGAGAAGCAAGTTAGACCATTAGGCAAAGATTCTCTCATCTGGCTGGCTGCCATACCTCTTGCTCTCGCTGTGTGTGATGTGCGTTGGCGTAAACGTAGAACAAACAAGAAAAAGCAAACGCGCGTATCGCAAGCCGCCATGTCAACTTGTCTCAAGCCCCATTCTGCGAGCACATGAGACCACCCTTCCAAAGAATCAACAAGCCACCAATCATATAAAGTTCTCGAGATCGAAGTGAAGATTGGAGCAAAGGCAAAAGTCCAAGGTGATCCTTTGCTTGAATGGGCGGGGTTTCACGCCCGCCTGGAATTGAATGTGTCAAGAAAGATTCAGTTTAGACATGAAACGAAGAGAAAACCGCAACTAGACGCCCTACTGGATGAGACGATGCCCGGGGCATCAAAAGGAGCATGTCCACAGCCGGCAAGGTACAAGCCAAAAAGAGCAGCAACCCATTGACCAGACACTGAATAATACGCATAGCGTAATGACTTGTGAGATGTCGTCCTGGTTTAGGCGCCGACGCCCACCATAACCCTCTCCTCTTCAAGTCTTCGAACCATCTCGCGCTCCTTAGGGCTACGCGGGTTCGCGTCGATGCCAAGAATAGCAGAAATCCTGGTCTTGTCCTGTTTCATGCCATAGGCGTCACGGTCATCAGGGCTGCCCACAGGGGTGATTGGAGTAGCCGTCTGCTGATAGTAAGCAGGGTTGCCGCTCTTCCAAGCCTGCTCCAAAACCATAGGGCTGGCATTGGGCCCGTAGTCAGCGGCGACGGCAGCCCAGAAGCTGGAGCGATGCGCACTATAGACGGCCCCAAGGCGTGACATGTCGACTGGGTGGCTCAAACCAGCCGAAGACGGTGGCGGAGGCAGAGCCGAACAATCCAAGCGGAGGGGGGCTACAGTCGCCGAGTGTGGGGGGTTGGCGGTGGTAGGTGTCTGAGCCGCTGCCGAGGCGAAGCTGGTCGAGGCCAGAAGCGGAGCGCTGCGCTGTTGCGGGTGTGCCTCGTGAATGGGTGTCGGATAGCCACGAGTCGTCGAGGGCGAGACGGTGCCCAGTGCAAGCGTCATGGATGCCGGCTTGGGCAGTATGGTCGGCAGCCGTGGGGAGGCAGTCACGCCGCCCACAATACTGGGAAGCTGGATGGTGCTAGGCGAGGCTGGACCGTAGCTACCAGCAGACCCAGGCGGAGAGACGCTGCGACTCGGTGACTCATGGATGGGACTGGGTACAGAGGCAGGCAGGATGGGCGAATGGCCACCAGATGAGGAGCCAGAGGACATGGAGGTTGTCCTCTTGCGGCGATTGCTGCCATGGCTGAGCTGGTGGTAGTGAAGACGGCAAGCAAGCTCGGTCTTTTTCAGATGAGCAGCGATATGCTTATATGGCATTTTCTGGAGACGAGTCTGAAGAAGATAGACTTCCTGTAGCAAGCTTGTCAATCGATAGATTCTCGGGACATGAGGCTGGTCTCTGCCGGGCAATGGTTCCTCTGGCGCAAGTCTAGGCATGGCAGGATGCAAACCCTCGCCCGTTGCTTTGCCGGATAGCAGCTATCAGCCACTGGGTTCACGTACCTCATCTTCGCTCCATGCTCTACCACCGCCCGTCGAGGCGGTCTTGCGGTTCTTGCCCACGCCATAATCGTGGCGGTCCATAGCATCTGACGTGGGTGTATACGGTGCCGGGGGAGCAGCCATATGCATGGTTGGAGACATGTTGTGGATTTGTCCTGTCCCTTTGAGCCGGCGTTTGATGATCGTCCACTGGCGTGGTGTCCAAAGAATCGAAATGTTGTAACAAGAAAACTGTGGCTGTGAGGCCCGGAAGAAGGAAGAGAAATAGAGCAGGCCGCGCTGCTTGAAGAATCGAATCGATATGATCGTTTTATAATCGAAGTGCCGGTATAAACTTATTCGAACGTAAGAAATCTCGGACTGTCTCGAGTGAAGGCTGTCAAGCTTAGAAGCAATTGAAGCTGATCATCGATAGGGCCAGAGGCGAGTACGAATCGAAAGGGGCAACGGTAAAAGGGTATACAACAAAAATGTGGTGTTTGAGGCCCTAGAACACCGGTCGAATCGAAGATACGTGTTATTCCAACGACGATAACGATATATATAAAAAAGAGCGTAGGCAGCCAATCCAGTTGGTCAATGACAAAAGAGTGTAAGGGTTTAGCTGCAAAAAAAGAAAGGAAAAAGAGAGGGACACACACGCAACAGCGTCGTGATCAGTCAGAGGTGATGATCGAGAGTAGAACCTTGGGTGGAGAGAAGAGATAAACAGGAAGAACAGAGGTCGGGACGGGGAGAGGGAGAGAAGGATAATAATGCATCGCCCTATTGCCCTTTAGGAGTCCCCATGCCATGACTGCATTGCATGATGTTCGGGCTCAGGCACATCCACCTGGGGGCGACAGGGATGCCGCACACCGCAAACTCTAGCCCTGTTACAGAGACGTCCCTTGGGATAGACCCTTGCACTTGCGGCGGCGGGGCCCCCCCTGCCCAAAATAGGTTCAACGAGCCACCCAGTGGTGGAGGGCAACCTCAAGGTGTGGTACTTGGTGCTTAATGCTTGATGCTCGATATGTGACAGGATGCCCGTACCGTAAGAGCAAGAGTTAGAGAGCATAAGAATGAGTCGATCCACCACATCAGACCAGAGCCGACCAAACTAGACCGGCCACTGGTCTGCCTCTTGGAGGACAAACACGGCATGCCCGCCCATCCTGGTAAGTCCTGGGTCCAGCAACTTTGCAGACAGAAATCGGGCTTGTTCGAAGGGCTCTTTGGGAAGAGGACGTGCGCGGACCAAAAGTCTTTTCCCGTCATTCTCGGGCCCCGGTCAGGGCATGGCGAGCCGCCGGGGCCCAGGGGTCCTTGGGCGGACGACACGCTGGCTCTAGCTTGCATCATGCCGAGAGGCAGACTAGCCCTCCCCCCCAGCATGGCCCTCGTTCCAGACACACAGACAGACAGAAAAGGATGCGACAGACAAACTCGGATGGAGGAGAGAGGATCCCCAAGGCTCATCATCATCGGACGGCAAGGGTTCACGTCAAAGACGAGCGCTTGGAAGCGGGGTTCCCGAGAAACCAGCAGGAGGCGGCCGGCGGTAAACAGAACAGATCCAAGACACAGGCCCTTACTGCCCCTCCTGGCTGTGAAGTCACCATCGGGTCTTCATCTCGCGTATAGTGCTGTAAGATTGCAGTGCAGGAGAGAACAGCTGCTTTATCAACACGTTTCCGAGGTTGGAGCGGGGGCAGTCTGCACGCGACGTACTACCCGCCCAGGAGTCTCGTGTCTTGGTAAAAGAATGGTGAAGAGTGCTGTGACGTACAAGCCATCTGGATGAGGGCATGTTCGACTTGGGTCGAACAGGCCAGTTGAGGTAAGGCAGTCGCTTGTCGGCAAGCAGACAGCCAGGCAGGCAGGCAAGCAGCGACATGGGATGAGTGCAAGTGGTAGGAGCTCGATGAGTCGGATTCGGACTTCTCACAGCCGGGCGCTCACGGCCATCCAGGGAGACAGGGCATCGCATCCGATAGCAGCAGGCCTAGCACCGTCAAATCATATCATGCCATGCCATACCAGGATTAGATAGGACAGGTGGAGGCCAAGGAGCATTGCAACTCGATGGGCCGGACTGGCAGAGTAAAGGTAAGGGAAGCAGGGTACATGTATTGCCACACATGCATAGGCAGGCACAGCTGTAGCTGGTCGGCTTGAGCTTCGCTGCTCAGTTGGAGATATGAGACGCAAAGGTACGCATATCTCCAAGGTGCGCAGGTATCGCGCGAGGGTCGAAAAGCAGACATGTACTTGACCTGTTATCCTGAGAGGGTACTTGGTGGTCACTGGAGCTCACTCCACTGCCCTGGCCTGGCCCGTGGGCGGGCGAGCGGGCCTTGGATGGTGTTTGAAGATGTTTCGTTGTATCAGAGTATGTCGGACGAGAGATGGAAGAGGTTCAGGGTCGGTTGGGCGGTCAAATCAAGGCAAGGCAAGGCAGGGCAAGTCAAGACGACGCAAGGGAAGGAGAAGTCTGTATCAGACGAGACGGACGTTTGTTTGATGGCGGGGAAAAGGGGCTCACTAGAGCCCTCAGAGTAGACTAGGTTGCATGCAGTAGCTTAACCTTCCTCGCCTTAAGCTCATGTACCTGCGTACCCAGCATACCCAGGGGAACGTGTCAGATCTGATGCTGCGTCATTGATTGGCCAATGGCATCACATACGCTGTGCCTACCTACTGTAGGTACGCATAACCTGGAAGATGTCTGATACGGTGACGGTGATACGGGAGGTACAAACGCACGGGTATCCAGACGGCGCTTAGCATATGCACACTAAGAGTATTCCCGCAGCTATTCACGCCATTGTTGTCGTGCGTGGTGTTAGCTTCACTAATACAGCCGTATCCGTCCAACCCAGTGCCTAGGTACTCCCTTCGCCCTATCTAGTCCCTGCACCTTCAAGCCAGAAAGGTTCAGATGCGACCGTTGAAACATGGACCTGTTTCTGACCAGCAAGCGTTATCCGGGCGTCTACCTACCGACTCGGCCACTGCCCTTATTCGACTTGACTTCAATCGTCAGGCGCAGAGACGGCATACCTACCTATCTACCACAAGGTACCCTCTTTAGAGACTTTGCCAGCCTCGGATGCTGCTAAGCATGTCCATACCACACACACTTGGCAGGTCTATCAATAGACAACACGGCAATCGCACATCTTGTTTATGAAGTCAAAGGTGCTATTTCTTTAGGTTATTTCAGCTCAACTCTTGCAGGCTTGAAGGTAGTGGTCGCAGTGGGTATCGTATAGCGCCCCTGGCTTCGCTGGATTCGACCATTACTCGGGCCCGAGGGTTCTCGTCCATCCGACTTTACTTCACAGTCGACGAGAGCCAGCAATGTTGGGTGCTCGAGCAAGATGCTCAGTTGCTGACCGCGTCTGGACGGCATATGAGAGAGGGTGGGCAAGCGTGTACCGAGATCGATGGGATCGAATTTAATTCCTTGAGTTCCTCTTGCCATATGCCATTCACACTGCTTTTGAGTCGGAACCATATCATGCATTTCGGCACATGCTTGCATGCACACATGGTCCTCCCTCCTGCTAACTGCGCCGTGTGTGCCCTCGCCGGATGTCCTTTGATCCAGTCCACGATACACCTCAAATGCCCGATCGTGCCCTGCCTTCCCTCCTGGGGTTTGGCTCGGCATGCGTTGAGGTCGGCTGGCCAAAGTTTAGCGGCTCTGTTTCTCTACGCCAGACAAAGAAGCCAGAGCCATAACAGCCAGTGCTATTGCATGGCGCCTCAGCAGGGGTCCCTAACCTCCCCCCTGTAAGCACCGATCGGTTTCCGGCCCTGGGCTGAAATCCCTTGAAACCTCGTCAAGTCGTTGGCGCAATTTCACGTCGGTATCAGATCCTACCACACCACACCACGCTAGCTACCTATCTGACGCCATGTGACATTTTTGTGACATTTTTGGTCTGTCTGTCTATCTACCTCTTCATTGACTATCTAATATATCCTACGATTCAAGATCTATTGGTTGTTTTTATTTTATTATTTTTTCTTTCAACAGGAGCAACAAGAGCAGGGGGGAGTAGTAACAACAAGCATCGGAACTGCTGTTGCTTTCGTGATGCGTTGAAGTTCTGCCCAAGAGACACACTTTCTTATTATTATTATTATTATCTTCTTCTTCTTCTTCTTCTTCTTGCAACTGTCGCCGCAGTCATGGTTGAAATTGTGGCTAGCCTGGGCAACGTGTCGGCGAGGGAGGTTTCGTAAACGTGAAACGTGAG